TTTCCACCCTAACGAAACCCTTAACCCCGAACCGCCAAACCCCTGAAGCACCCTTATAAACCCTAAACCCCTTTTGCCTAAACCCCTAAACCCGAACCTATACTCCGGAACCCTAAACCATCCTAAACTCTAAATCCCATAGCTCAGGTCCCCACTTGTAGATCTGGAACTGATTTCTCAGCTCCTTCAGCGTGACGGCTTCGACTGGGGCTTGCCCTTTATACAACTTAATAGGGGCCCTCACTGATCTTACTGTTCCTGTCTGGGTTCTAGGGCCCCAAAGGTGTTTTGTAGCCCAAAGAATGACTTCTATAGTTGAGGCCCCTATATATCTTAAACGTCGGTGTCTTTCCCCTTGTTTGGTTCGTAGGACCCATACATTCGGTTGACTAGCGAAGGACAAAACTATAAGAGGAGGTCTTGCCAGAAGGAGAGTGTACACATTTTGCTGAGGCTTGGGCAGGGTTTTGAATGTCTTTTTCTTTGGGTCTTTACAGTTCAGCAGTGATCTTGACAATACAACGTAGGTTTAACGAATCAGGAGGCCTTAATACTGAGCCCTTAACCTTTACACTCTGGCCTAAACCCTAAACCCTAAACCGTAACTGCAATCCTGAACGAACCCGAAAGTCTGAAGCCACGAAACGCATAGCCCCACGTACTAAACCTCTAAGACCCCATAGCCCGTATAATAAACAAAACTTTGTACAACCCTAGGAACCATTTATAAACTCTGACAAAACCCACATCAACACAAGCCTAGACAACCTTGCAAGCACCCTACAGAAATCAATGAAAGCTTTAAGTCCTATTTAAGCCTTCGATCAACCCTCAACCCCCACAGCCCCACCTTTAGCATTGAAGTCCGTTAAAACGTAGGTTTTTCGCGGGTTAAGGTAAACCATACACCGGCTTAGATAAACCTAAAAACCCTAAACCCAATCAATACTAACCCTTAAGTAGCCACGCCCAGGATGTCAAACCCTGAACCCTGAACCCTCAACCAAAAACTCCAAACTCTAAACCCTAAGCGCTAAACCCTAAACCCTAAAACTCTCTAAACCCTAAACCCCAATAAACCCCAATAAACCCTAGACCCTTTTGTCCTCTTGTCTCGTCTCGGAAACTGCTTGGAGCTCGGCGAGGTCGATGTTGGCCCCCTGGTTTGGATGTGGCGTTGCTTTCTTTTTTCGACTTCGACTTTCCTATGCTTTTGGAGCTTTTTTTCTGCTTTACTATGCTCTTGTAGCCGGAAACCGAAACACCGCAGTCCCTGGATGACGATCACAGGGCACGGCGGCAGAACAATGCTTCGACCATCGATGCGGATGCATGGGCTGCAAGCTGCTCCGCAGTGAATGGTTTCGGATGCCAGGCATAAGTAGATCAAATGGACTGCGGCCAAACTTGCGGCCCTGAACTGCAAACCAGCCCACATCTTAGACCCATAGCCGAAGACAGCACCCACATCCGAGAAGCCTGGACCAACTTGACCAATGGCCAAACTGCAAAGCCGCAAGTAGCACACCTCAAAAACAGCAGTCAAACCTGAGACCTATCAATAAACCCGAAGAGCCAAATCCGCAACTGTTCACTGAAACGAAGTAGGAACGCGAAACATAATACAGAGGAGTTGAAAATTACCCATACTATTTTTTTGGGGGGGGGTTCCTTATTACTAGTCTTGTTGTAGTATGAGGGGCTCCAAAAGCCTGTTCTAATTCTTAAGGCCCCTAAAGTAATAAACAGATGCCTCGAGAGTGGAGTGTCTTTCCACGATCTCCTGCAAGTGCTTCCGGAGGGATTTTGGGGTTCAGGGTGTTACGGTTTACTGTAGGGGTTTCGGGTTTCAGGGTTTAGGGTAGGATTCGGGGCTTATAGGATTTTGATGTTCCGTCAGCAGCCTGTTGTTGGGTTCAAGGCTACAACCCTACGGGTCCAAGTACCTAATTATCATATACTCCCCAAACTAGTAACCTACATAACTACTATCCGAAAACCGAGTACCTAATTATTGGGTCCTTTGGACCCTTAGGGCAAGGTCGCGGATCTTCAACCTTGAAAGCAGCTCAGAGGTGTCCAGCGGTGTTACACACAAACCCGAGCTCAAGAAGGCACGGCTTGGCCCAACTCAAGTACCTAACGTACGACCACCGCTCCTACAACCCCAACTGCAACATTCATCTCCACTCCCACCCCTAAGCCCATAACCCATAAACCGTACTACACAATGCGCCCGCACTTCTGGAAACCATCGTGCTGAAGTCCTGTGGAGTGAATCCTATTCACCTCAACGCCCTCGAACCTGAACCCTGAAAGCCCTATAAGCCCCGAACCCTACAAGCCCTAAAGTCCAAACGGCCCAGAACCCCAGGCAAGACAAGCCCCTATAAACCCTAAACCATACAGCCCTAAGCGCGAAACCCTAAGCCATAAAGCCCTAAATCCTAAACTGTACCGCCCATAGACCCTAAACCCTAAACCGCTCCGAAATCTCGGTGTAGTCGTCGCAGGTTTCCTTCACCATCTCGAGGAACTCCTACAGTTCCGCATTTTTTCTGACCCTTTAAGGGTTCCATAAGGGTTCTAATCGTAGGATGTAGGGTCCTGAACTGAGCAACAAGAATAAACTGCGGAGCACGATGCTAAAGAACAAAACGCTGCTGGGTGGAAATGATGAGGGAGACCCCTTAAAGGGTCCCCTTCCGAACCCTACTTCCGGCTCTCTTAAAAGGGACCTTATTGAGAGGGTCTATATCCCCGAGGGTCCCCCTAATCCTGACTCCCAGCTGCACTCCACATAGCTTAGGATACTTCACAATTTGCAGGATATGGTCCATGAGCCGCCTGAGAAGTGCTCTGTTCCAATTCTGACGAAATGCCATAACTAGATTTTTTGGGTTTAGGGTCCGCCTTTTGCTCAACGCCAGTGATGGCCCATGCTAAAGCTTGGCGACTGCTGTAGATCGATGTGAGAACTCTGAACCTGAGACCCTATACCCCTACGGTTGATGATATAAATCCTGCATGACCCATAATAAGGACTATACCATAATTCCCATAGTTAAGGGTCCTTAAGGTAATGCATGACTTATATCATCAACTGTAGCACAAGAAGGCGAAGCCTCAAACGCCGAAGCATGTGATCCACCTGTAGCCCCAAACCCTACAGCAAACATCATTGCCACATCAGTTCACGTAAGACTACCACTTGTATGGCATGCTCAGTGGCACGGCTTAGTGAAGCAGTTCTGTGTGGCCTTCAGGGTGTTTCGGGTCACCTTGAAACCAGGTTTTGCTTGTGCGAGGAGTCGCGCAGCTCCATCCGCCTCTCTGGGCAGTAGAACTGGTGCACAAACGGCACCACAAAGCTACCATTGAATTCATGATCATGACTGGAATCGCTCACTGACTTTGCGCTTTAAGCGCATCCAGAGGCCCTGCACGTCGCTTGAGGCTGACAGTGCTCGTTTCTAAGCTACAGGCGGATTGGTGCAATCATTCCGTCAGAACCGGTTCACACGGTAGCTGTCCAGCATTGTGCGTCTGCTTTGCAGTGCGTGCTTGCAACTTTGTGCACAAGCAGCATCTTTCACATAATCCTGCTGAGTTAGATACTGTGGAACATCTTCTCATATGACTAAGTCGAGCTTGCATTGCGGGGAGTGGTCCTGCTGTAGAAACTGACTCTTGATCAGGACGCTTGTCTGAATTGACTCTGCATTTGATGCAGGAGTCGTGCAAACGAAGCAATGTGCAAATGCCCAGGCCGCTTTCTGTGAACATTGCGAGAGGCAGACGATCCTATGAACCCTACTACAACCCACTACTCTGGATGACTATGTGTACGGCTCAACTGCCAGATCCTCTGGTCGCACATCTTTGTCGAACTCGACTTATTTCAACGCTCAGCCGCAAACATGGAGATTTCAGAAAAAAGAACTCGGGGTTCCCTTACGAAGTTTCTTCAGCTCCAACCATTTTGTTCGGCTCTATTTGGAGGTGTTTAGGGGTTAGGGGTTCCCCTGTTTGCTGAAACTCCAAGAACTGTGCAGCCGCCAAGTTGTGATTTCCCAGATTCAATTCAAGCAGCAAGCATTGGCTGTTTGTTCTCGGCGATGGCAGCAAGACCTCACGCTCAACTAGGAGGTGCTTTTAAAGCCTTTCGAAAATATTAGTAGGTAAGATCCTCTTAAGCCCAATCAGAGCAAACACAAAATGTCCCACAGCCCTACCTAGTCAATCGATAGAAGGATCCGTGAACCCCCGACCGGCTAGACACGCCGAATCCTACGGTTGATGATACAAATCCTGCATTACTATAATAAGGAAAATACCACAATTCCCATAATCTAGGGTCCTTAAGGTAGTGCAGGATTTATATCATCAACCGTACGCCTGAAGAATACCGGGCCCTTTCTCACCATAGCACAGTGGCCAACTGTGCGGTGATTGGCGGCCACGGATGCTCTAGTTTCACACACCATTCAACCTTCAAACACCTGGTCTGGGATGTTCCAAGAAAGCCACCCCTTTCGAGATCTGGCACGCCAAGCACATCAAATCACCTCTCTGAAGCCCAGATCTGCACCTGTCGCCCGAAAAAACACCAGACCTTCCAATATCCCTTAATTGAGGAATATAGCTTAAAACTCGTATTAGGCATCCTACTATATATGAAGGGTATAATCCTGAATTACAGTGTTTTGGAATGTCTGGGTAAACCCAAAGCCCTACATCCCGAACACTAAAACCCAAACCCCGAAGCCCGAGCCCCAAACCCCAACAGCCTGCGTCACTGAATAAAACGAACCTCCTGACTCAACCCAAGCCAAGAAACCTAATCAGCAGAACAGGCTTTCGGGTTACATCGCGCTATCCTTACCCTACATATCCTAAGGAATAGCACACTGTTCCCTAAATCCTAAACCCCTAAAGCCTAATCCGTTAATCATTCTTAAGATTCAGGCTTCTATGCAAACCCGGCCTGAGATCTCGCATCACGAGAGGCCGCTGTTGCTGCCGCTTTGCTTGCCTTTGCTGCAACCACCCAGGCGCTGGCTTGAAAGGGCTCTTGATTTAGCTAACCAGTGGTTTTGGGGGCTCCCTTGGCTCTTTAGCTCCTTACTCAATAGGGATTATCATCCCTGGCTCCTTAGCTCCCGCAATATCAATGCTTAGTTAGGGTTTAGGGCTTAGGGCTTTGGGTCTTTACGCCCTGTTCAGTTCAAGCACAGAGCCTATCCCGAAAATGTGGCAATCTAGGGCTGAGCATAAGCTTTTGAAACGAAACGAGCACTAAGGCGCGGCTCTGGAGGATCTCATCGTTCAGGCCGCATCGTCTTTTAATTGCTTGAGGAGGCAGGGGGGGTGGTGCAAAGGGCTTTACGATTCTGCTGTCTTGTATGAGGCTTCATGGCTCTAAAGGGCTTCCATGGCTTTAAAGTGCTTCAAACTGCTTGGAGAGCCTGGGTTTAAGTGTTTCGTTTCGGGCTTCGGGTATGCGGTACTGCCACAGTAGGATGTACATCATTAGCGACATTATTCCCTTGCAGTCTCTACTATGATTACGGTATAGTATACGCCCAAAGCCGAACTCAACGCCCCAAACATCAAATCCTAAACCCCAAACCATATCTGTTGTGACCCCCCACCCCTCCCCCGCACACCAGTTGCAGCAAAGAAGCAGCTTGGAGTGACGGGAGCCAGAAGCTGAGAATCCTCGTCTGGAGCGTTTTATGCCTTTAGCGATTGCAGCATTAAATTCGGATGGCTTCGTTCATTTATGGAATCTTATCAGGGTTCCATGGCCGTGAGAGGAGACGGGAGTTCGTTGTGCGGTAAGCTAGATGCACAACTTCGGGTTTTGCCCTAAACCCCAAATAAACCGAATCCACCCCTTTGCAAATTCTATACTGAACTTAGAACCCTAGCAAACATTGTATTTTTAGCTGTTTCTTAGGGATCATAATCACCAAAAAATACAAATCATTTCTGAGAACCTCTAAGAATTGTGGTCCTGCGGAGATTCAAGCCTCTGGATGAGCTCTTCCAGATAGAAGAAGATCTGCTCGAAACCTGCACGGAGCATAGGCAGACCGGTAGTAGCTAACCAGTGCTTTTGGGGCTCCCTTGGCTCTTTAGCTCCTTATTTAATAGGGGTTCTCATCATCCCTGGCTCCTTAGCTCCTCCAATATCAAAGGTTAGGTAGGGCTTAGGCTTTTTAGGTTTGGAGCTTGGGGTTTAGGGTTGAGGGCTTAGGACTTTTAGGGTTTAGGGCTACTTCCCTGGCTGGGGCGCAATGACACCGACGACAACCGCTGAAGAGTCGCCGGACCAATGATCCTCGAAGTGTTGGGGCATCCTGTGGCTGCTTCTGCTTAGAATAGAACTTTGGGGTGGGTTATGTACTTGGTGTGCTCATATATATATATATACACAGACATAGATATGTGTGTTTACGTATGCTTTCTCTGCACTATGTAGCCATACTTACTATATTCAGGGACCCTAAGGAGGAGCAGTGACGAGTAAGTACTTGGCCCCTGTCTTGGACCCGACGGCAACGCGCGCCTCGCCGCGTGTCCTTGGTCATCAGCAGGAGGTCCACAGCTCGAGCCGTGCCCTGGAGACGAAGACAGCCGCTTATGAACTCCTGTGGGAGGAACCCAGACCCCCGGGAGGATCTGGAAAGTGCATCCATTTTACTACTATGTAACCCTAAACCCTAAACCCTAAACCGTTACTACTAAGGGTACTTTATAGGAACCCGCTTCAAAGGATCTAATTTTGGATCCTCCCGGGGGTCTGGGAAGGGGTTTCGGCAAGGCCTGGGCCATAGACCCTAAAGGGTTTAGGGTTTAGGGGTTGATTGACGCCTAAACTAAACCGTAAACCCTAATGTTAAGGGAGCGCTGCAACGCCGAGCCTCAAATCCCAAGCAACCTCATACCCTAGACGCTCCGCTACACCCCAAGCCCCAAATCCTGGTTGCGTATGGATCTGTAGAACCGGTATTTCTTGGCATGCTACAGTGTACGGTATCCTGCTTGCATATACAGTCTGTGTGCATGGGTTGGACCAGTGAACCTCTTGCCAGGTACACTCTCAGGTCTACAGCGACAGGTTCACACAACTCAGTGTCGTCGAAAGGAATCTCATCGTCGCGTCCTCCTTGTCAATGCTGCCATCTCCGCTGAGGTCGAGAATCTCGAACAGCACCTCCACTGCTCAAGGTTTATGGGTTGAGGCCTTTAGGGAAACCCTTCAACAAATCCTTAGAGGAACCGTTTAAAGAACCCTGAAACTTTATGTTTCATATAGAGGTCTGAATTAGGGACGTAATGTACAATACCCCAGATCATTGCGACCCCATCTTTCGGGTTTTGAAACGACACTACAGTGCAATGTTTGCTAGACCTTAGTCCAACCATCAAGATCTCTCTAGCCAGGCATCCTTCGCTTGGCTTGAGAAGCTACCTATAGTCTCCATTGTAGTTCCTTTTTTGGTTAACCAAAAACTCTATTATAGGGTCGAGTCCTAACCATAATATTGGTTAACCAAGAAAAGGAACTACAATAGAGACTATAGGTAGGCTTCGAGTCCGGGCGGGGATGTCCCGCTCAGGGTTTGTGCGTTGGGCTGAAACGCTTGAGGGGTGTAGAGTTTAGGGTTGGGGCCTCCGGGCTTTTTGCGTCTACTGCTTAGGGCTCAAGGGCGGAAGGAGCAGCATCTCGGGATGACCAGGATTTGGGTTTCAGGATTTCAAAACAGGATCTAGCGGCATGAATGGTTGCAGGGTCCATGTACCTGTGCAGCATGTACTTTCGCCTTAGTGGGTTCCTAGGTAGTAAGTTAGAAGATATGGCTGCGGGCTAATTAGTGTTGTACGGCTGCTTCTTTGTTCGTGCCATAAGAAAATACAGGAAGTGATACCACGTGGCAAGGCTTCGGTTTTTTAAATGCGATGACCTTTCTCCGCAGCGACGGATCTCCCGCTTTAGAGGTCTGCATTACTTGGAGGATCATGGGACTTAGTAAGTAAGGTTATAAGTACCCTAATTGGGGTTATAAGTATAGTTACCCTAATTATAAGCCTAGTTACTAAGTCCCATGATCCTTTAAGTAAGGGCTGCCTCGGAAGCTTTCTCGCCGAACTTCAGAAGGTGTCGGGTTTGGGGGTCTAGGGTTTCTCTTGTACCAATGATGATATAAATCCTGAATTACCTTGAGGACCCTAAACTATGGGAACTATGGTATATTCAGTATGATTGGCAAAGGCTTCGAGCCTTTGACCTTTTCTCTTCAGCATTTCAGCATTCATGCCTTCCAAGATGCTCCGTAAACTCTGCGGACTTTAAGGCTCAGCTGCTGAGTTCATAAGCCCCCAAAGATGTGCACTTTTTAGCTTTATAGCGGGTATGATTGTCCCAAAAAGTGTGAAGTGTATCCACTCAGCTACTAAGAAGGTTTATGGCTTGATTAGGGGTTTAGGTTGCCAGCCTCCCTGTGAATTTGTGTCTCAACAATTACTAGGCATGTCAGACCCTGGCAAATTTTCCAGTCTTTCTGAGCGATGGGAGAGTAGCGGTCGCAAAAGAGCTTTATGGATCATCCTTCCACTGAAACCTCACAGCCTGCACGAACCATCCTGAAACCTCCGCCTGGAAACTTCTCAACAAAGAGCCCGACATCGTCAGCAATGGCATCCTTGCAGAGGCCTGAAGCCCACGAACCCAGTGTTCCCCTGAAAACGGGCAAGAACATCGCACCTCCGCCTCGGATGAATCAACATCGATGGTCCTGGCTTCACTTCCGTGAAAGAGGCCTTACGACCCAAAGCACCGGAACTGCAACCCTAAACCCTAAACCTGAAACCCCGAACCCTAACCCGTCAAGGCGGAGATTGGGGATACACTGCAAGAAACGGATGCTAGCACACTGCAATCCCTGCATCACGAGCCCCAACTTCCAACCCTAATCCCCAAACCCTAAACCCCTTGGTCCTGAAGAACTGCTGAACCGGTTTCGACTCCAGATGGCGTCGGATCTCGTCAATGGTAATTGCCTGGGCTTCTGAATGTTTTGGAGGCTCTATGTAGGGTCCGCCCTGTTCGGGAGTTGTATGCGAGTATATCTAAGTAGGGAATATTGTGGTGCAGATTCACTACTGGTTCTCAGAACCCTGAAATAACTCTAAACGACTCAGGTCGAGATGCTCCACTGTCATCAATGTCCAGGCTCTTGAACAAACGCCGGGCTTGGAAGACATTATCCAAGTCCTGCACAAACGCCCAGGCATGCTCGGGTACACTGAAGCTCTACAGCCATGAGCGTGGAGTTCCGAACCCACAAACCCCAAGCGCGAGCCCAAACGTTCAATCTTCATCCCAGTTTGCGAACCTTAAGCCTGGAAGGTGTTTTGGTTGAACCCTAAACCTAGAACCTGAATGCCTAAACCCTATGTGATCAACAAACTCTAAACCCTAAATCCCTATACCCTAAACCTGAATCCCTGCCCCCAAAACCCGAAAACGAAGGCTCCCCAACATGTCATGCCCGGGTCCTTCACAGACTGAGATCGCTCCATAGCCGCTGACACAAAGTTGCCAGTAATGATGTTCATTACCTACGGTTCAGGGCTTAAGGGTTGTAAGGTTCGTATAAAGTTACTATGTGGGAACTATGGAACTATCGGGGTACTAAAGCTATAGTGGTTCTATACGTCTTGGGGTCGCAGGGTTAAGGGTGCAGGTCTTAAGGTTTAGCGCAAACTACGACAAATCGATTACGGATCAAGTCGCGGCGGTACAGATCGGCATAGACATTCTTTGCGGGTGTGGCTACGACTGCTGGTGATGCTGCTATGTATGTTGCTCTTGTTGTCAGCACCAACGCTAGTACCCTCAAGAATACCACTACCACTTTCCGACTGCGATATGGGAGTTTCCGGAAACTAGGGGTGGGGTCCTTGTAATAGGGATCCTACTCATTTGGGGTACTATATTAGGGTCCCCTATTTTGGGAGACTCCCGTATCGATGGCTGCCACTCCGACTGTTGAGACGGCTGGCTGCTTACCGCAACTTTGAATCTGCGACGTTCTATCGAGGGCCACTGCTTTCGAGGTGTCGAGACATGTGGGTGGTTGTCAAAATTATGGTCCCTTTTTTTGGTACCCTAAATATATAATAGGTGCCGTACTATATAGGGACCCAAAAAGGGACCAACATTTTGACAACCGCCCATGTAGAAGGTAAGTCTCCATTATGAAACTTGAGGGTAGTTCGATGTGGCAGTATTATTAAGGCTTTGGTATGCGGGGGTGTTAAGCAGGAGCCCTAGTAGTCGCAGGGGGTTCTGATGCGAAAACTCTCTCCAGCCAAGATGCCCCAAGGATCAAGAAGGCAGTACAGTTACTTTTAAAGCTTTGGGGGTGGTAAGCAGGAGGGACCAAAGCCCTATTAGGGCGCAGGGGCTTGGAAGAAAGGTCTTTCCAGCCAAGGTGCCCCAAGGATGAGGAAGGCAATCCAGAAGACAGTGGCCAAGCCCCAAACTTCGTGCATGTTCTCGCTCCTGGGGATCCGAGGCCCTCATCCCCATCTCAAGCTGACGAATCCTGCGATCTACTAACTTTCCCAAATCCCTAGCCTGAAGGCCCAAAACACAGATTTCGTAGATAAATCGTAAAGGGCTTCGTGTTTAGGGTTCTCCTGGGGGTATCCACTTCAATCCAAGGAGTGCATCTTTGTGAGGAGTAGCCTCCGGGGGCAGGAGGTTTAAGGTTTTTCGGGCACTGCAGAATAGAGCCCACTAAAGAAGCCTTGGGGGGCCAAGAATTATAGAAGCCTTGAGGGGGCCCCATTATAGAAGCCTGAAGGGGGCCCTATTATAGAAGCCCTAAGGGGGCCCTATTATAGAAGCCTTATCGAATCCAGCATGCAGTCCATTATAGAATACAGAACCCTTCACAGAGCCCCTACAGAACCGTCGAGGACTGGAGGGTTCCGGTCCTGAATTGTTCATGGCTTGTTCAGAGCACCTGCAGCCAAGGCTCAGCACGTCAACGAGCTCACGCCAGTCGATGCCTCCCGGATACAGTTTTACTGCTTATCTCAACAGGAATCATTTACAGTCTCAGCCCCCGTTTTTAGGTGCATCATCGAAGCTCATGGAAAAAGGGTCACAGAATTTGCTGCCGAGACATTTATCCAGGGCCTCTAAGGGGCAGCTATTGCCAAACCCTAAGCCCCAAACCCTAAACCATAAACCCTATAGACCCTAAACCATAAACCCTATAGACCCTAAACCATAAACCCTATAGACCCTAAACCCTATAGACCTTAAACCATAAACCCTAAACCGGTTCAAACCTCGGAACTGGGCCTGCACTTTCGTGCTTGTTGGTGCCAAAGCTGACAGAACCCGAAACTCCACCCCCACCGGGAAAGAGCTCTGTAAACAAGTAGTGAAGGGTTTAGGGTTTGGGGTTGCGGGTTTCGGGTCTAAAGGGTTTAGGGTTCCGGGTTTAGTGAAGCAAACCAACAACAACAACTGTGGCTAAAACAACAGTAGCAACCATAAACCGTGAAAGCGTATAGCAGTTTCCGAAAATAGGGGATCCTAATATAGCACCCCAAATAGTAGGACCCTTATCATCAGGGCCCCGAAATAGGGTACCCCTGTTTTCGGAAACTCCCATATGTTCCGAGGGGCCTCCTGTGAGTGCCTGGAAGAGTGAAAGAATTGATCGGCCAACCTCAGGGGAGTCTGTCTGGGGATTAGGGGGGTAAGGGGTTTAGGTTTAGGGTTTAGGGTTAAAGGCTGATTAGGGGGTTTAGGGTTCCTTTAAAGGGATCCATCAGGGCTCCCTAAAGGGATCTATAAGGGTTCTACACCACCGGGCCGAAAGTTTCGACATGCAGCTTATAACATACATGTATGCCGCGGAGAGGCAAGACCCATTTTACGTGGCCAGCGTGGCGGAGTAATTACTTTCCGGGAATAAATTTATACTACTATATAGTTTCCGGCGGAGAGCTTTGCGGGGTTCTGCTAGGATTCTACGGGGGGAAAGGGGTCAACATGTGATGATCTCTCAACTTCATGTTGTATGGCGAACTTTCGTCCTGCGGTAGTATAAAGGGGTTTAGGCTCTACAGTAGACGCCAAAAAGTTGGAAACCCCATAGCCTCAATCCTTAAGAGTAATGTCTAGGGAATCCCAGCACTAGTTGGCCTTAATCCGGTTTCCAACTTTATGGGGTTTACTTTAACTTTATATACGTCTTCAGATTTTCGGGATATGTGATTCGCAGCTCTTTGCCTGTAAAAGGGTTTCTGGGATAAGGGCTTTTGGGGCTTTGGGGTTATCTATTCATATCAAGATCACGACTACAATCCTCCTATTGCTGTTGCTATCTTACTGCTGCTTTCGATGGTTGTGAGAACTGACATTCCTCCTGGGTTCCGGACTATAGGCTTTGGGACTTCAAGGTTTTAGGGGTCTGGAGCTGTTGGGCTTGCAAAGACTTCGGGGTGCCGTAACACACTAAACCCCAACCCCCAAGCCAAACTCCCTAAACCTCAAACTCTCAGCCTATAATTTCATAAGATGCTAGAAGCATAGGTTTTTAAACACAGTGTTTTTTCATGGATTTAAACAACCTCTAAAATTCATAAGATGCTAGAAGCAAGTATGCCGGGGATCTGCGATTTGCGTGTTTCGCCTTTCCTCTCAACTACCACAGCCTATCTACCGTAAGCAAACATCAGACCCTATGTCGCAACTACCATAACCTATCTATCGCATATGAACATCAGACTATATATCGTAAACGCTAGTCGCGCGAGTGCCGTAGTATAAAGGTTGAAGGGTGTCCTTCCACTGTTGCTTTTAGCTTCTCTCGTGTGCCAAGACTGCATGCCCCAAATTCAAATCGCACGACTAGCCCCCCTAAACCCTAAACCCTAAACCCTAAACCTCAAGTCCCAAACCGTCAAAGTGAAGCTCAAACAAACCCTAAACCAAAACCCTCCACCGTCGACAACAAATTGCACACCCTGAACCCAGAACCCTAAACCCCAAATCCTAGACCCCAAACCCCACACCCTAGACCCCGACCTCTAGATCCCAAATCCTAAACCCCTAAACCCTAAAGCCTTAAACCCCAAAACCCTAAACTCCCAAATCCTAAACCCCTGAAGCCCTAAACCCCTAAATCCTAAAACCCTGAAACCCTAAACCCCTAAGTCCTAAAACCCTGAAACCTAAACCCCTACACCCTTTTTGCATCCAGCCTGCAAAGCCTCTGCTGGGAAGCATATGAGCGCCTACAGCAAACCTTCAAGTCTGCCGTGCCCTACAGTAGAAGCCAGAAAGTTGGAATATCATTATCCTAACCCCTTTAAGGTAAATTATAGGGGATCCTACCATTAATCCATATTCCAACTTTCTGGAGTTCCCTGTAAGCCCTAAACCCTAAACCCTAAACCCTAGCCAAAAACCCCTGGGGCTTCGAGCCGTCCCGAAGAACTTGTCGAGCATGGCATCTCCCTGACCTTCGGGACCTGGCTTGCCGAGCTCATACTTTTAGGGGTACCTTATTTTGGGGTCCGATAGATGTACTCTTCTGGGAACACCAAGTTTAGGGATGTGGAATTTCCGAAAATTAGGGTACTGTATTTTTGGGATCCTTATAATAGGGATCCTACTATTTAGGGTACTATACTAGTAGGATCCCCTATTTTCGGAAACTCCCATATGACTAGCTACTATCAAAGGGGAAAAGGAGGGAGCCTTTAATGGGGACCCCTACCCTATAATGGGCTATATAATAGCTATATTAAGGGTATATACCTAGGGGTCCTTATTAAGGGTGCCCGCTCTTACCCTTGGAAAAACTACAGTGCAGTATACTACATTCTTTAGATATTGTAACGTATGTATGTATGTGATGTAATGTAAGTGTATGCCTGTATGTATATAATCTACCTTTATCTTGTTGAAAACCTTGACATCATATTGTATTCGTGTCTTCACGAAGGCTTCGGTTGACGGCGACATGCCCGACACTGATGGTGATGATGGTCTGTACTGCTGCACTGCAGGTGTCCTTGATCTTCTACCCTGCCCATGTGAGATACCTGTGCATAGTACATCAGTGCTGGGTTCAGTGCTGGGGGTCGTCCCGGCTTGTTCCTGCTTTTCACTCTTTATTCTCGATGAACAACGAATCCCTGCCGGCCCGATGAAGCCAGCGACACTTTACATTACTTGAGGGCCATACTGTTGATGGACAAAATCCTGCATTACCCTTTATAAGGAATATACCATAGTTCCCAGAGTCCTTAGGGTCATGCAGGATTTTGTCCATCAGCAGTACCATGAATCCTACACCCTCAACTCCCACTCCGACCAGTGCTTCACGTTCGAACTTTTATTCCGAAGCAGCCATCTGGGTGGGGTCCGTATTATAATACGGCACCTAATATTTAGGGCACCCGAAAAGGGACCATAATTTTGACAAGCAGCTATCTGGGTTGAAGGCAAGGGTTATGAATCAGGGGAACTCTAAGGGTTTTAGGGGTGTGAGGTTTCGAGGTTTAGGGGTGTTGCGTGGGTGTAGGACTCAATGTTTCAGTGCTGGGGTTCTCATGGTGCAGTTTCGGGAGTTGACTACACTTATATATATATATATGTATATCTCTCTCTCTCTATGAACATTCTTTTATGTATGTATCTCAATCTGTGTGTGTGTGCGTGTGTGTAAGCAACCCCTTCCCCCTCCACAACCCCCCCTTTGAAGCCATATACGATACAAAGCGATAGAACCCTAAACGATCGTCAACCTTAAAGCCTGAAGACTGCGAAACTGCGCCTTTTTCGAGCCGGTGAAGATGGACAGATTGGGTCAGGTACAAGCCGTAGATGTAGACCTGATTCAGAGTTTAACACCCTAAACTGCGCAGGGCTTACTCAAATCACCCCAAGTATCGCTAATCGGGTTTTGTTGGCCCTTTCTTGCGTTTTCTTGTCGCTATATATGACACTTGTATACCGTGCTTAGGGGGTACAGTCATTAGAGGCGGGTCTTGAATGTTTTCGGGATTTGAGGGTTGAAGACTCAATTTGGAATTAAGGGTTCAAAGAAAGGCAAATCAGTATTGGTGCCCGCCTGGTCTTGGCTGTCGCCTGCAGTGTTAAACCACGAGTTTTCCAGCTTCAGGGGGCTATAGCTACAGGCCTAACAAACCCCAGTAAAGATACCGTAGCCATAGACCCTCCATCCAGCCCCTATTAGACCCTAAGTACCCATTATTTGGGACCATATACCCTATTTGGGGGTACAACGAGGGTCAACCCTAAACCCTAAACCCTAAACTTTAACCCTTAACCCAAGTAAAGATACGGTAGCCATAGAACCCGCTGCCTTGGGCTCCAAAGCTTTAGCTCACCAGCCTTCGCCATGTCAGGGCTTCGGGTTTACCTAGACACCCCCCCACGCACTTCACTGTTGGGTTCACCAACTCTGTAATCAATTTTTAGATTGTTCTTATAATTAATGTTTTCATCATTTTTAATAGAAATTAGATTTTTGTTATTATGGCTAGGATCGCCCAAGAAAGGACACGCACAGCAACAACAGCTCGAGCTTGACGTAACCCTCAACCCCTGCACCTAAAAAGACCGCGAAGCAAAACTGCTGCGAATCCAATCCTTACTGGTCCAGTATCCTGGGGAATCCTTCTGGGGTTACTTGTACCCTCAAATAGGGGTATATGGTCCCAAATAAGAGGCATTTGGTGTCTAATAGAGGGGTAGTTGTCAAAATTAGGGTCCTTTTGTGGGTACCCTAAATAATCCGTATTATAATAAGGACCCCAAAAGGGACTATAATATGGGAGAATCTAAACAGGGATCTAGCCACACTTCATCCTCCGACAAACTCAACCTGAACTGGGTCAGACAAGCTGCCAGCAGGAAAACAAACATCACCGACCTGAAGGCAAGGAATGCTTTAAGGTTGCAGCTCTTCGGCTTCCTTTAAAGGAGACCCAAAGAAGCCCTTAAAGGATCCCTAAAGGGGCTGGGTTACAGGGATTTAGGGCTTAGGGTGAAGAGTGGGCTTGGGCTTCAAGGGCCTCGATTTGGGGCGGGGGTTGGGAGCCTAAGGCCCAGTGGCGTTGTGATTTAGGTTTGATGCTCTGGTTGATTTCAAGACTTCGTGAATTTTCGAGCATGATTTCAGGCTTCTATACCGGATGGAGGCTGAACCCTGATGAATCACAGCCCGTGGTCCAGCCCACAACATTCGGGCCGTTTGCGTGTGGTCAATCTGCCTACTATCTCCTGCAACCCATGAGGTTTAGGGCTGGGTTTCTATCATTTACCTTGAACTACCAAAACTGAACCTACTGCTCTGTTCTTCTTTAACCAGGGCCAAAAAAAGTTCAAACTTTCTGAGGTAGATTAGATATATAAGGCCAAAAAGTTTAAAGTTCTCCCATTGGCTAAGTAAGACTGGTTTGTAGAGTTCATACAGTTTCTGTATGAGGGTTCTCTTTCGAACCTTCTGCCAGTTTAAGATAGGTTTCTTTTTGGAAGTTGAACCCCCCCTTGACTCTTGTCTGTGCTGAACGAGTCATTGAAGAGCCAAGGTCTACTTATACTCTCCATTGTAGTTCATTCTTTTGGTTTCGCAATTTCTGTGTGTAGGACCCTGTACGGTAACTTTAAAACGGGAACTACAATGGAGACTACAAGAAGGGTGTATTAGTCCCCATAAGCTACCACACCAGCCTCAGGAACTTCGTCAAGAGAAAACCTCCAAGTGCATATTAGCGGCGCTGCTTTGCCGAACGGCCTTCAGTCGGCTACATTCCCCAACCCATAATCCAGGAAAAGCAAGCCTGTGCAACACCCTGATAAGCCCAAGTCCCCAAACACGTCTCCAGGCCTAATCACCCCAGGCCAAATCACCCCAAGACCCGACTCTGCTGCAGGGAGTCCAAATGAAGGACTTCGCGGAGTAGAGCATACATGCGACCAGCCGCCTGGAAAACCAACAAGGCCGTGCTTCTTTTTAATTTCTGAGCGTATGAATACGGAGGGGGGGGCATAAGGCCACATGCTGAATATTGGGGTGCTACTGGAGGGGGGGGGGGTTGTTCGATAGGATTGGCTGGAGTTTAGGGTTTTCACGCAGGGTGTTAGGCTCTGTGGCTTTGGGCTTCAGGTTGGCTCGTACCTAGAGATTCCCAGTAGGTTTGACGCTTGGCTTCTTCTGTCTCAGGTGGGTGCGTATATATATATATATATATATATATATGTACAGTTTATTACAGACAGAGACAAACAAAACATTTGTATGTACTTCTGTTAATGTGTATAGACGTATATACGGACACCTGAAAGGGACCTGAAAAGACCCCTCTGAGGTGCCCGTAGCTTGGGCGGGCCTTAGGTCGTCGAAGAAACGCGTGAGGCGCAGCACGCGAATTATCCGCATAAAACGGAGCCTCGGAGGATTTCTTGTGGGGTTTATAGGTCTTGAGGGCTGTTGGGGCTCCTTTCAGGGATCTGTAGGCTTTATCTTAAGGCAATCCTGCGGATTTGGGGGTTTAGAGATTAGGGATGAGGGTTGAGAGTTTGGGGACTGGGATTCAGGGTTTAGGGTTTACCGTTTAGGGTTGAGGGATTTGCCAGTGGCTCGCCAAACCCTAGATTACTATAGAGGTTGCACATGACTTAGTCCTAGTATTTTGCAGGCTTGGCCATTATGGGTCAGAGATTCTGGATTTCCGATTCGAGGACTTCCGGAGTTCGGAGGCTTTCGAAATATGGGGTGTGCGAGCCATTTAAGGTTCAGGGCTCAAGGTTCACGACTTGAGGGACTAGCGCTGGGATTCTGGGAAACTGCAAGCAGAGCCACGTGCGAACGATGCGAAGAACCGCAAAGTCCACAACACCTTCCGCAGATTCGAGGCTAAGACGGGTGGCTCGGCTCTCGCGCCCTCATCTATGAAAGCTTCTTCTTTTCTCAAAATTACCTTCACCTACCGGAGCCAGCGTTTTCACAGGGTGCCTTCTAGGTCCATATTAGGATTTATGGTAGTTTCACATATCTACGATGTTTCATGGGCTTTTGTGTCTATGGGTTTCGTGCTTTTGAGCGTTCCGGAGCTTTCGCCTTGGGGGGATAAAGCTTAAACCTGCAAGCCCTGAACCCCAGTCCTCTGGGATCCTAAGTACCCCAACGCTCTGGAATCCTCAGTCCCAAAACTCTGGAATCCTAGGTCCTAAATTCTAGACCCCTATAGCAGCGAATGTAGGTCTCGGGCAGCAGGAGCAACCGGGCGATAAAACAAAGCAACAGTTTGTTTGCAGCCAAATGGAACCGCAAAGTCTCTCTGTCTCTCCCTTGCTCTCTTCGAATGAGTCCCGTCTCGAGCACCCTTGCCTCCTCCAACGGCCCTACTCATCACCGCAGCCGTAACCGGCAACAAGAAGAACACGGCCACGGCAAAACCTATCTTAAAGGGTCTATAGGGTGTATAGAGTTTACCAGCCCTCCCAGCAAGAATTTATTTGTCTGTGCAGGTGACGTTCAGATCTCTGCTTAACTTGTACAACCGGAAATGCATGAAACATTGACACCTACACGACCCTCACAAGCCACGGAACCATTAATCCACCCCTCGTTCCCCTCTCCTGCCCTGAAGCCTTGAACCCTGAAGCCCTACACCCCGGAACCTCTCAACCTGAAGCACTTCAATTCCCACGTCTCTCCAGCCAAAACCCTGAAAGCCCCAAGTAAGCATCCCGACCCAACTAACAGCCACGCCGCCTGAGGTTTCCTTGTTCGCCAGGATCAATGCCTACGGTGCGGGGCGACAGTGGCATGGGCTGCGAGCCGTTGAAACGCGGTAAACGGTCTTGATAAGGATGTTTAGGGATTCCTGGTGTCTTCTGGAGCTTTGCACTCTAAACCCCGAGCTTTTTGCGGGTTGTGAAGAGAGTGCGCGCCAGCCTCAGAGCAGCGACCGCGTCTTATCTTAACCCTAGGCCCTAGAGTCACTTGAGGAATTGAAACCTGTCACTTCTAGCTTTATGCGTGGGCCATTGGTCTGGCTTCATGTCATTGGTGGGTTTAGGGTTTAGGACTTGGGGGTTTAAGGTTTTTAGGGGCTTAGGGATTAGGGTTGCAGAAGCGGGAAACGTGTACGTCCGGGAGTCCAGGAAGCACCAGCATTTCGCACACTGTGTGGTTACGGAGACTGCAGCTCATGGAAGGCTTGTCAAAATTATGCAAAGACATACTACAGCATATGCATTGCACTTTCATCTATAACAATAAAAACGAATTCGAGCAGCAATTGCCAAAGTAGCTCCTTGCTATCACTGGCTTCAGCTGGTGTACAACCCGAAGTATGGCCTTCATAGAAGAACACGTGATCTATATGGAGTTCTCGAAGATTTAATAAGGATCGTACTATTTAGGGTACCAGTACTGTATTCGGGTCCCCTATTTTCGGATCCTCGTTGGAGGCACCGACAGGGAAGAACTGCCCAAAGTGCCGTAGACCTTCAACCCTACTAAACCTTCAACCCTACTCATCCCTACATCCCGAATCCGTAGCCAGGATCATGGAGGTCTGCCTCCTCCACCAGCTGCGCGACGACAAGGAAAAAGTCCAAGACCTTATCAGAAGAATGGTGGTTTCCGACATAGTAGGTATCCATCTAGTCGGGGCCACACCATGCCTTCGAGGATCCTACCACCTCGTGTCAACGCTAAAGATTGTGTAGTTGTGCAAGCTTCTACATCGCGGTATGTGACTTGGTGAATAATTTTAAGCCATTAAGTCGATATCACCGTTCGCATGCTGAGTGTCTGGTTCCATCGGAGGTGAGATGTCAATACAACTCTTGCTGTTGTCCTTCACCTACAGCGGTCTACAAAATGTCCTGAGTTCCGGCTCTTAGGTTATGGCTTTCGGAGGCGGATAAGCACAGTATCACATACTTCAAGACCCAAGTCTAATTAGTAAGGCCATCTTCGACCCCTTTTGACCCTAGTTGTTCGCTACCGTAATCCCAATTGCAACAGCCAAGCCAGCTTCCCATCACCATCCCTCCTGTTGATGATATAATCCTGAATTACTTTAAGGACCCTAAACCGTGGAAATCACGGTATATTCCTTATTATGGGTACTGCAGGATTGAAAACATCAACCCTATTGAAGGAGATTGTCGGGTTCATGTAAGGGGGGCCTTAATGATTAGAATAGGGTATTGGGCTCCTGGGAAGTATCTATTAGAATAAGGAGCCCTGAGGTATTACTATATTGGTACTGATTTAAGCTTTTACGTTACCTCATGTGTGAACCACGAAGCCGAACCGTGCAGGCAAGCAGCATTCCAGCCCCAGCCCAACCTGAGGCGCGAGGTTTTGTTAAGGAACCTATTTCAAGCTACCATTCTAGGGATCTATAGAAAAGAATATGGTTCCCTTATTCCCGTAACTTAAACTCCTTAAGAAAAGGTCAGTTCAAGCAGCTTCTGCGGCTTCCAGCATCGACGTCCTACTCCTTACACCCTAAACCCTGAACCGTTGAACCCCAAACCGTAAATCCCTAAACCCTAAACCCTTTGATCCTAGATCCCACGACACCAAGGCGTAAGGTCTGGAACATCGAACGGGGTGGAGACGTCTAGCAAAGTGTAGTTATGTTGATGCATACTTGGAGGTTCATGGGTAATGATACGTGGGGGTTCTAAGTAGGGCAACTATAAATATACAAGCCATATTAGCGGACTTGTACATTACCCTGCTTATAACTTCGCATGAACCTCCAAGTACTGCCTGAAACAGGAAAGCTTGGCAGCAATAAATACGGTTGATGATAGAAATCCTGCATTACCTTAAGGACCCTAAACTATGGGAATTATGGTATATTCCTTATTATGGGTCATGCAGGATTTGTATCATCAACCGTATGCACAGCCATCGGTAGAGCCATTCATTCGAAACTCCAGAGGCTGATAAACAAGAAACAGCCAGCCAGCGTAGAGCAATCTGCGTCTTGCAGATCGCGGCTTCCCACAATTCCACATTCTGTCAAAACAATATACTACCTCTAGTGAAATCGTATAAGGCCCTGCCCTACTGTTATGAATGAAGCTGGCAGGTTGACTTCAGTGTGCTTGGCCGAATTCAGACTTAGGTCAGTTGATTTGCTGGCTTCGCGGTTTTAGGGTTTAGGGTTCAGGGTCATAGCGGCCTTGTTCCAACCATAGACATATGCTCCCGCACTCGGCGAGGTGTAGGTTCGAGGGTTTAGGATTTAGGGATGCAGCTGGAGCGCATGTAGAAGAACTTCAGCCCGTGCACGACGAGGCGAAGCGCGACCTGTATGTATGTACGCATGCATGTATGTGGGTGGTTGTCAAAATTAGGGTCCCTTTTTGGGTACCCTAAAGAATAAGTGCCGTATTATCTTACGGACCCAGAAAGGGACCATAATTTTGATAAGCACCCATGTACGTATGTATACAGTAAACCCCCTAAAGTTGGAAACCGGATTAAGGCCAAATGGAGCTGGGATTCCCTTTACATTACTCTTAAGGATTGAGGCTATTGGGTTTCCAACTTTTGGGCGTCTACTGTATCCTAAACTTCTACTGCACGAGATTCCAGGTTGGACCTCAAACCATGAGGGTGGTTGTCAAAATTATGGCCCCTTTTTGGGTACTCTTTATAGGTGCCGTACTATACTAGGGACCCAAAACGGGACCATAATTTTGACAACCATCCATGAAGCAGTGACTACAGGCTCATAGGGCTCTCCCTCTAAACCCCTCCGAGCAGTATTCACAAATCAGATCCTCCCCCTTCAAACCCCAAACTCCAACCAACATCAGGAAAGGGCAAATCTTTCGGGCGTGTTCAGCAGGAGTTCAGATACATCCGTTCTTATGCTGTGGGTTTAGAGGGATAAGGGTTGACATGGTTTTGGGCTTTAACGCGTCATGTGTTTGCGCAATTTTGGGGTTTAGGGCTGAAAAGCTTGCGGGTTTTGGGAGTCTTGGGGAAAAGTTGGGCAGAGCTTTCATCAGATGTTGAAGCTCAGAGCATAAACAGCCTCCATGGCGAAGAAGCTGCAAACGATGATATCAATGACACCTGGGTCTTGTGCTTCTTAGGGCTTTCGGGCTAGCGAGCCTACGATAGCGGACTTTTCGACATCCCGATTTCAGGGTTCAGAGTATCGGGCGTAGTTTGAGTTTAGCGTTTCGGGTTTAGGGTTCAGAGCTGTCCTGCATTAGCTTGAGGAGTGCAGGGTAAACCAGGTCCCCTGGTCCCAGGGTTCTTGCATACTCAGGACCTCGCTGTAGACCGTGATAAACAGGCCGGATCCAAACAATGGGGGCCAATAGGGGTGGGAGTCCGAAATAAGTCTCCGGCTAAGGCTAGTCCCTAGCACGGCCTTCTTGTTTAGACATCATTGCGGAAACCTAAGGTCGTGCTTTTGGTCGGCAGATAAAACTCCACTAACAGCGTACAGGAAACACACCTGCAGAAGCCCAGCAGCCCATACAGTAGGTTACAGTCATAATGCTTCCCTTTGCAAGTGGGCACATGACACTGATATAGGGCCCCTCATTGTTGGAGTACGTAAAATTTGGGGTACATGCCATAGTATAGCTCTATGTCGACACCCTAGAAGTAGTTTAACACGTAGAACCCTAGACTTCCTAAGCCCAAGACACCCTCCAAACCCTCAAACGCACACTAACATTCAAGATACCCTATATACAGGTAGAATCCTGAACTTCCTAATTACACCCTATAGACACCCTTCAAGCCCTTAGCTCACACACTAACATTCAGGAATTATAGAACCCCTTTAGCCCTTAAACACACTCATTGTCAAGATGATCCCTAAACTTCCTAAACCCTAGACACCCTTTAAACCCTTGAACGCACTTATTTTCAAGATGACCCCTAAACTTCTTAAACCCTAGACACCCTTTAAACCCTTAAACGCACACTCATTTTCAAGATGATCCAGGCTGCGGAATGGCAGGGATGGGTCAGCGCTGCCGTTGAGGGTCATCCAGTTGATCTGGGCTCCTCAGTTCGGCCGCCCCGGAACACAGAGACTCCAATATCCCTTAATTAAGGAATATTCCTTACATTATAGTAGGACCCCTAAAATGATTTAAGGACTATTCCTTAATTAAGGGATATTGGAGTCTCTGGGAACGGTGATAGGCTATTTGGGTGGTTGTCAAAATTAGGGTTCCTTATTGGGAACTCTAAATATTAGGTGCCGTAGTAAAATGAGGACCACAATTTTCACAGCTACCCATGACATGGGCGGGAAGGAACAAAGAGCTTCTCGGCTCCTTCTCCACCAATGACACATGGTAGAACAACTGCAAGACATGGGCTGCCTCCGCAGGGATCTCTGAAAGCTTGTAGATCGCTCTCTTGCCGAAGTCCTCCACCGGGATCTGGGCCGTGTCCTTGTCCACACTCGCAGCACTGGTGCCCGGGCTAGCCGTGAGAAAATAGGGGTCTGTCAGTGCAGCTGGAGACATCACTCCAGGGACCGTCGTGGCCGGCGACGAAGCCAGAGCGGCGAGGACACCTCGAATCTCAGAGCTATTCGGAGCCTCCGGTGTCTCCGGAGGGCTATGTGGGCGAATCTTCCCCTCCGGCGTCATCCCCACGAGCTGCTGCGAGACTCTCTGAGACCGGGGAGGCGTCTGGAACACAGTGCTCTGCAAGCCACGTGGCTCCGGGTCGATCATCTCCTGGTCATCCGACGAGTCCAACTGAGTGGGCAACACCTGAATGTAAACCCTACCTGAGCCCTATGAAACCCTGCCTTCTTAGAATCTTCTTAGGGCTGCTTGTTCCGAAATCCTTATGCTAAAGCTAAACCTTGAAGGCAGCCTGCAAAAAAACAGTTTACCAAGCCTTTAAAGTCAGGCTCGGCTTGAATGAGGTTTAGAGGGGGTATCTAGCTTCTCCGGGGCTCTATTTTTTGATGTCAACAAAGACACAAACTACTTCGGGCCTGCCGCTCCTTCCTACCAGGAAACTGTAAGAACGCGCCCCCACCCCCCCCCCGCACCCCAAAGTGCAAAAGGGTGAAGGTTGTATGTAGATAAAGAACTTAGGGTTTAGGGGTCGTGTTTGAGAGCTTTGGAGGCCAAACCCTACCTAGATCAGACTGGGCCAACACTCACCAACTCATGAAACTCACACACTTGGAAGTGCTGGGGGGCCCCCAAAGGGTCGCTATGCCAGGAAATCCGAAATCAACAACCCTCAACTGGCACCTCAATCGTAAGCTCCACCGGATATGGCATCAACGGGGATGACCAGAAGCTCTACAGATCTACCATAGAAGTTGTCGTTTCGGGCTGGATGCAACAAACCTATCCGTAAAGCATGCTCAGAATTCAGAGTGCTTCGAGTCCGAAAGCCGGTCCCGAAGAGAACCCCATAACTTAGAAGGGGCCCCCACTGTAACAGTGACTATAAGGCTATAAGGATTATATTAGGGCCCTATTGTATTCCTATTATACCACTATTACAGGGTGGGGGCCCCTTCTAACCCGTAACCCCTGAACCCCAGCTTGAGGGTCCTACTATTTTGGGGTCTTCGCGGAATACGAGTTTAGCTATGAAAACAGAAACGTTACACATACTGTTCATGTTGGCATCCTGCTATTTGTCATGCCGAGGTGAAGCAACAAAAACATCGCCTTCGAACAGACCTAGCGTCCCACAAGAATCGTGTGCGTCACGATCACCGCCACCTGGCTTCCATTCATACACTGCAGGCCACTTGCTATTGCTGCCTGATGCTGTGCTTGCGTCTACCCAACGACGTCCTTGCGTAAGGCTGCGGATTCTTGCGGTCTAGGTTCAGATAAGGCTTTGAGAAGTCGGATTTATGCTGTCGGGTTTGGGGGTGGAAAGTGTTGGGTTGAAGGGTTTGGGGTTGATGTCGAAAAGCATTGATACTTCTGTTTGCTAATTAAGAAGAGGATGCACATGCGTTTATAGCTCCTTCAATGATAGATGCAAGATATCGCCATCTCAACGTCGAGGTCCTTCTCATTTGCAGTAGCTCTTACTACGCAGTGTGAGCACCAAGTTCACTTACGGTGCTGTTAGAAATTGCTGTCTTAACGAAAGAGGGGGCGTGTTGGTTTGTGCATGTGCAGTCACCTACTATCTACTGATTGCGTAAGTGCTTCGTAGCAGTCGTAGCAAGGTGAGATAAGCCTGTTACTAGCAACTACCCCGCATATATTATGATGAAGTAAAGTCACTTTCGAAACTCGAAGCCGTGCCTAAACCTCTGAACCAGTTGAACGCCTAAAAATGTAAAAGCCCACAGGGCATGAAGGGCTGAGCCCCGAGCGACGATGTACTCGAACTTCTGACTGCGAACGAACCTTCTGCCAAGCTTGGCTCGCTTTGTCCGCGGGGCTTCAGGGCTACTTGCTCCTCCGAAGGAGAGGCACCAAAAAAGAAACCCCGTAAGGGAACCCTTGAAGGAACCCGTCAAGGTACCGAGGACCTTAAAGGCAAGATGAGGGCTCTATAATTACAAGGCTTCTTTGATGGCTTCGGGGCTTTGGGGGCTTGGGTTTTACCTTAACCCGGAATAACCTACATTCTTAAGGACTCATATAAGGAAATCATAATAAGGAACCCTAAAAAGGTAGGTTATTCAGGATTAAGGTAGGGCTTGGGGTGGTTGAGAGCCTTAGGGTTTGCGGTTTGGTGTTTAGGGTTCGGGGTAACAAAACCCGCAGGGATTTTTGGAGTCACACGATCAGAAATGCAGTCGCTGCAGATGCCTTCTGAGACCGTCGGAGAAGTGCCACCCCTCAACCTTCTTAAACCCCAAACCCAACCTCAGCGTGTTCCTTAAACCCCAAATCGCAAAGCCCGAGTGAAACCTATTGGCTTCACCTCAAACCCTAAACCTCAAAGTGTTCCTTAAACCCTCTAGAGACCTGAAAGACCGCTCCTAGGAGCCCTCGAGATTGAAACAAACCCTAAACCCTGAACCCTAAAAAATGCGGTTGCCTAAACCCCCCCAAAGCAAGTAAAATAATGGCCCAATACCTCTAAACGGCTATTATTCTACATACTTTTGGGGTCCAGGTTAGGGTTTAGGGTCATGAACTCAAACACCCCCCACGTTCTTTGAAGGCCTGCTCAGGCAGTAGTGGCCGGCGCCCAAATTCTGCAGCTTGTGGTTCACTTCCTGAATACTAAAGGGCTCCTTAAAAGGGATCTATAGGGGTTCCTTAATTAAAGGGATTTATAGGGTTTTTTAGGGGCCACTTAAAGGATCATGGGACTTAGTAACTAGGGTCACAATTAGGGTAACTATACTTATAACCCCAAGTAGGGTACTTATAACCTTACTCACTAAGTCCCATAATCCTCCAAGTAGCCGAGGGGCGATATGCTCCTTCCGCCCTGCACCCCGCGAGCATAAGGAATCTAACCACTATCCCAAAACCCTATAAAGCACTAGGCCCCACACTCTGAAACGAGAATCCTACTTAGAAGCTGCCCCCACCCTCTAATAGTGACTATAAGGATTATATTAAGGCCCTTATTATATTCCTATTATACCACTATTACAGGGCGGGGGCCCCTTCTAAAATCCTACACTCTAAACCCGAAAATTTGGATTTGCAGCCTAAGCGCCCTGAGGTCCAGGTCCGAGGTTCTCGTCTGTAAAGCTTGGGGCTGTGGGGCTTTGTTTAGGGCTTCGGGATGCTTAGGGTATAACGTCGGGGCCTTAATAATTAGAATAGGGTTCTGGGGCGAATTGCATTATAACTATGATAAGGAGCCCCCAAATAGTATAAGTGATTATTGAGGCCCCTATAGCATAGGGTTTAGCCAGACGTTGCTTCAAGGCCTGCAGCGACAGTACCCGGAAACTGCCACACCTACTTCTAGACATCCTAAAACCTGAAATCCTCAATCCAACTTTCGGCCAACATGTTCGAGCCACGGCCGAAAAACGTCAATGCTTAGCTCGGAACCCTATCCTTACCTTTGGTTAGTAGGGAATGGAAGAATGGGAGTAATTGTAGTTATACTTGTACCCCATTCCTCCATTCCCTACTAACCAAGCTAAGTATCTTCCGCGTCACTCTCCCTCCTGTCAGCTGAACCTTAACCAGTTACCTTGCCGATGGCGGCAGCTCGCTCTGCTTTTGTTCGTTTGTCTGACGAGTTTCCACAGCAATGAAGATTGTAATGCTGCCTTCGATGTGCTGTTAATGCACACGCTGATATCAATATACTGCTATGCTTGCTATGTCGATGAATACTACTATGCATTGCCAGCAATGTCAGCAATGTCGTAGAACCTTTATCACGAAACTCTAGTTCGAAACCCCAGACTCTACGACTCTACGCTCCGCCCCCCCCTAAACTCTAAGCCCCAGTCCGAGCCCTACCAAAAACTCAAAACCCTAAGCTTGGCCCTAAACCCTACACTTTCCCTAGAACCATTAGCCCCAACCCGAGTCACACAAAAATCCAAGAGTAAAAGGAGGACCCTTCAAAAGGACCCCTAGGTATGTACCCTTAAAATAACTATTATATACCCATTATATAGCCCATTATAGGGTAGGGGTCCCCATTAAGGGTCTCTCCTCTTCCCCTTTGAAAAAAGAAAGCCTGACTCTTTCATCGAGGAGTCCGAGAGCTGGGCGCGAAGGCCCATCGCCACTTCCTGTGCTAAGGGCTTTAAAGTTTGCCTTATATAACCCTGAATAACCTACCGTATTAGGGTTCCTTATTATGATTTCCTTATATGAGTCCATGAAAATGTAGGTTATTCCGGGTTAAGGTAGGGGTTTAGGGGTTTAGGCCTGAGCTTCAAGCAATGGCGCATCGGAATCAAGTTCTTCGTGCGGGGTCGAGATCCATAAGGGTCCATGTACATAGTAGATATTTTGGCCCTGAAGTACCTGGAGAGGGACTACTTTGATGCCTAGGTATATTGCGAAAATGGGCACATGGACCCCAAGCGAATTACATCAAGCGGCTCGGGGTTTGGCTTGATGGCTTTGCCTTGAAGATGAGTTTGGGAAGTTTTATATCTGCTTTCTTCCTTAACGGCGCACCGGGGCTTAGCAGCGAAAAGCTTCATGGGCTTGGGGGTGCAGGGCCTCCCCTTTCCCCGTGTTGGATGGGGCCGGCCATGAAAGCCAAAGCAACACACGAGGGAGAACTGATGGCTTGGCACCTAAAACCCTGAACCTCAAGCTAAAGGTTTAGGGTTTAGGGATCGTCGAAGGCAGGTGGTTTGAGGAGGGGCTACCCTTAGGCGTACGAGGGAAACATGGCAATTACGTATAATGTACTACAGTTTATATACCCCACTAAACCATAAACTAGACCTCGTCTCTCACCATGATCCCATTCTCGAATTGGGTAGATCTCGGAACTAGGGTCCCTTAGAAGACCTTTTGACAAGGGTGCCGCACTATTTGGGGGGGAAAAGGCACCCTAATTCAGAGGACTACCCAAATCCCTACACCCTAAACACTATTGGGTAGTTCTCTAAATTAGGGACCCTAACAGGGATGCTTTTCAGAGAACTACCCAGTTGCAGACCAGCCGCGATGCTCTCACAGCCGACTCTCGACCCACGATCCGCACGGCGGACGCTCACCGCCTGCCACGAAAGAAAGGCCGAAATTGGGTTCAGGGTTGGTTTAAGGTCTAGGGTTAGGCGCAGGTCTTGCGATCTCAATTATTCCCATAAAACCCCCAGATTCCCGCAACAGAAACCCCTCAAATTCAGTGTTTGCGGTTAGCAGCTTCGGCTTAAGGGTTGAGGTGCATGGTTCCAAACGGTTTATGGCATTTATGGCTTTGAAGGTCTGGTGTCTAGAGGTTTGTACATTGTCTTTGGGAGGCAAGGTTGCCATCGAGGCATTTGTTGGGTGTCTTATCTTGAGGAGAAGGACATGCCTAGGGGCTGATCTCTGACTGAGGCATTAAGTAGGGGCTTTAGGATGATAAGGCCCCTATTAAAGACGGACATCCAAGCTGGAAAGAATGGAACATAGTGTTGTTCTTGGTCGTGCTCGGCGCTGAAACGCTTGACCATACGGCATCAAACCCGAAATCCGGAAACCTCGAGCGCCACAGCCGATTCATGTAGGGGCCTGAAGACTTACAATAAGGTACAGTTTTGGTGGTGTACTGTGGTACAGTTCCGTCGAGTCGTTGAGGCATCGACAGGAAATATGTTGCTATTTATCAGGCCACTATATTGCATAGCAAACCAAACTCCGAATAAAGCTGGAGAAGCCCGATACGGACCTTCCTGATTAGAATCGGCTGTTGCAGTACGAGTACAAGGATGATGTTGTGGTCAGGAACAGTATTAGGGCCTGCATATAGTAAGAACCCTACGGAATGGTATCATCAAAAACCCGACACCAATACTAATTAAGCCTAGACCCTAAACCCCTACCCCAAGGGACATACTCTCCAAACTACTGACCTGCATAACTACTATCCTAAAACCTGGGTCCTTTGGACCCTTAGGGCTATATTATTAAGCCCCACTGTGTAGCCTTGGTCTTTGGCGGCGTATTGTGCTTGAAGCGGCTCGAGAGATTGCGGCTGCTGTCCATACTCTTCGAACTGTCCTCAAATCCGTGTTTTAGGATTTGGGAAGTGCTGCAAAATAGGTTCCCTGTCAGGGGCTGTTCATAGGGGCACGCTTAAGTAGTGAACTACCCGCCTAGGAATGATGGCATCAGGTCTAAGGGGATTAAGTTATGAGGATGTGGGCTAGCATTGGGTCTAGGTTCCACCTGGAGGTTCATAATAGAAGGGCCTTGATGATTCGAATGCGCATATGCAGTATATATATATATATATACACACATATATATATATACATATATTTATTTATATATGTATTTACAGTATATGATAATTCTATTATATAGAGGTAATTAAGGAACTCTAATCGTAGTAACGTACCGCTGTTTTGGAGCAGCTAGGCTTATGGCAAGTATCTGTGATATAGAAAAGCACGCAACATAAGGAAGGAATACGGTGTGAGTCTATAGGTAGGGGCCTGGTTGCATACTGACGTACCCGGCTTAGTTCAGGGTTGAGAGTTTAGTGTCTAGGGTTTGAGGCTTCAGAATTTAGGGTCTGAGTTGACGGACTATCGAAACCTTAAGCCCTATAACTGGATACCAACTTGAATACCAAGCCCGAAAGCCCAACATCCATGCAAAGTTTCTCCATGGACGACGTCGCTGGCATCGTTCGAGGGCTCCTTGTTGATCTGGCCGGGGAGACACCTCAAGCGGAGTACGGCTTAGGCCTCTTAACAAGCCTTAATGTAGGGGCCTTGATGAGTAGAATCGGGTTTTTGGGGTGAATAAGGAACCTAAGAACAATATAGGTACTTATTATCTAGGTCCCGGCATTACAGGCAACCGCTTCGCACTCGGGCTAAGCGTCTTCAGCTGTACGAGTACGGCTTTCTCGGTGCTAGATGCTTCTCAGCGAGAAGTAGATAGACAAACAACAACCCGGCACCACAAATTCAAACCCTAAACCCTAAACCGTATCCCTATACCCTAAGACCACAATAAGCCCAGCATCGAACACGTCCCCCCAACGAAAAGCCCAGCACCTGAATCCCAGACCCAAAGTCGCAAAACGCAGCACCCTCAACCCTGGACCCTCAACCCCAAACCCGTAAATCATGAACCCCCTAAGCCCTGACCCCAAATCCTGAACCCCTCAACCCCTAATGTAGTACCCTAAATAGTAGGATCCTTCTTATAAGGACCCCAAAGTAAGGTACCCCTTATTTTCGGAAACTCCCATATTTAGAATCCTATAAAGTAATCCCAGGCCCTAGACAATTCAAGCCCACAGGTCCAAGGTACAGTAAGTTGATGTCCTCATCCACGGCTTGCGACTTGATTTCCGGGATTCTCTCTGCTGCAGCCTGCAATACAAAGGCTTTCGGGGTGCTGGGAGTCCCGATACATTACTCTTAAGGATTGAGGCTATTGGGTCTCCAACTTTTAAGCTTCTTCCGTAAGATTCTCGATATGGGACCTAGGGTTGAAAGTGCGAGGTTCAGGATCTACTTGGGGTATCGGTCGTGTAATTCGGATTTGGGATCAGCAAACCGTTTTCAGCGTTTCCGAGCGTAAAAGGAGGGACTCTTAGTAAGGACCCCTAGGTATATACCCTTAATATAGCTATTATATACCTATTATATAGCCCATTATAGGGTAAGGGTCCCCATTAAGGGTCCGTCCTTTTCCCCTTTGAGCGTTTGGTAGCTTAGGTGCTAGCTGGGGCTTGGGTTTGGGGATTTTGGGACTGTTGTGATGAGCCGCTCATTTAACAATTTTAGCATCTCACATCCGGTGTCCCTCCTTGTACGGCCAAGAAGGAAAACAACCTGGTCCGTAAACCAACACCCTGTATTCCAAATTTCAATGCACCCTAAACCCCCCAAAGCATAACCCCAAGCCGAAGCCCTATACCCTAAAAGCTTAAGCCAACATCCTTGAAGCCATGAATCCGAAAACCCGAAACCCCTAAACCCTAAACCCTAAGCCCCTAAACCCTAAACCCTAAGCCCCTAAATCCTAAACCCTAAACCCCTAAACCCTAAACCTTAAACCCCTAAAACCCTAAACCCCTAAACTCCTAAACCCTAATCTGTCCCAGAGCAAGCCTCCGCCCAAAGCTCCAGGCCGAAAGACTCAAAAGAAAGAGATGAGATATGCAAGAATCGCGAGGAACAAGTTTCGGATAGGGCTTAGAGTTTCGGACTTCAAGTAGAAGTTTAGGGTTTATTGGAATTCAAGGCATAGAGTCCAGGAGTTTAGGGTCGGTTTATTCGAATTTAGGGCTTAGAATCTAGGAGTTTGGGAATGCACGGGTCAGGAAGCAAACCATCAAGGCCTCGGTATCACTGGAGTCCGCGGCAGCAGGTGTCTCTTGCATCTCCTTTCGAGACAAGGAGGTCAGCAAAAGCGTTTCTGTCTCTGGAACTTCAACAAACAGCATAATGAGCGACCTGAGTATTGGGGCCATCGGGCTTTCGGGTCTCTATACCTGATCCTACTAGTCGGGTATCATGGGGAACTAAAGGTTAACCGTTTTGGTTATATAGGGAATATATAGGGACTATACTACCCAAACAAGGCCAAAGGTTACCTACTCTACTGCGAAGTGATGCTTGCGCAATCTCACAGTCTCCATATGGGACTTTCCGAAAATAGGTGACCCTAATATGGTACCCTGAATAGTAGGACCCTTATAATAAGGAATCGGCTCAGCAGATCACGCTTGAACCTTAACACCTGACCGACTCTGACTCGGCAACCCTGCCGCCCAAACCTTACTTGGGGTTATAAGTACCCTAAGTGAGGTGTTATAAGTAGCTATGAGTATAGTTACCTTAATTATCACCCTAGTTACTACGTCCCATGATCCTTTAAGTAAACCCTCAACCCCAGAGCCGCGGAACCCCCTGCTTGGTATGGAGTCGGTGCAGTGTAGGCGCTGAGCCGCCGAAACACCAAACCCGAAACCCTGAACCCCAGTAGCCCAATTCTGCAACCCAGACCCTATACCCTAAGCCCTAAACCCCAAATCCCCATCCCACAGCCCTAAGCTTCGCACTAAAACACCATCAGAATTTTTCTCGGAGTCCTTTCCCAGGAGCACTGGCACCTGCAGCAGCTTTCCCCTTCTAGTGTTGGGGCGGCTGGAGCTCGGGTTATGCTTGCCTTAAACAGTGCCGAGCTACTTTTACGGAAGGTCCTTACAATTTATCAACCTATCTTTGCTAAGGTCTATGTTATCAGCTTACAAAACAGGTAGCTTAGGGTAGGGTTTGTAGTGGTTTATAGGGGTGTAGGGTTTGGTTTTTGCGGTTTCGGAATATGGGCTCAGGGTGCACGGGGATTGGAGCTGAGGGTTTTGGTCTTCATGATTTTGAGGTTGACAGCTTTCGGCTTCACAGGCATGTTCGGAGTGAACTAGAACCCTAAATGGCTGAATACTCCCGCAACCCTGGCCGCAAAGCCCAAAGTTAAGCCTTGAACGAGTGCCCGGAACCCAATAGCCCCCGACCCTTAGACCCTACCTATAGTCTCCATTGTAGTTCTTTGTTTTGGTTCAGCCATCATATATGTATATATATATATACACATACAACCATACACTTATGAATATTACGTATGTCGGATCCTATTATTTGGCAGCTCCCAAAAGAAACTACCATGGAGACTAACGTGCACCGCTAGGCCCCAGGCCCATGACAACCCGGCTGCAGGACACCCTAAATCATCGAAGACAACATCGCCTGTAAGCCCGTTAGACCCTGAAAGCAAACGATGTGTTTGATGGACACTCATGCAACGTGTATACATATATATATATATATATATGGTCACCCCCCCCCCCATGACAGACCATCCCCTTTAAAACATCGCTCCCACCGGCGTGTTCGTGCTTTTTCCGGAGTATCGAGTTTGAGCCCTCCGAACGTATACCTGGAACCACCAAAAGACTGAGACCAGAAAGCAGCACGATAAGGCGCGCGGGTGTCCTACCAAGAAAGGAATTACAGAGCACACGTGTATGGATGAGGGTTGTGCTGATACACTACATAGTAAGCACTACACAGTAATCTTACTTGAGTCATATATAGAACAGATTCCAGCATTTCCAAAATTTCCAAAATTTTTCTCCCCTAACTTTCCAGATTTCCAAAATTTCCAAAATTTCCAAAATTTCCCGACCTAGTCGACAGGATTTTTCCAAAACATAAGGGCGGACTTTTTGGAAATTTTGGAAATTTTGGAAAGTTTGGAAATTTTGGAAATTTTGGAAATTTTGGAAATCCGGAAAGTTAGGGGAGAGAATTTTTTTTGGAAATTTTGGAAATTTTGGAAATGCTGGAATCTGCTCTATATATGACTCAAGTAAGATTACTGCGCAGTGCTTTTAACACTAACGTTGACATGTATATTAATGCTTTCATTTCGAATATGCACATTACTAATTCTATTATTAACATTAATACTCCTACGCCTACCAATAGTCATATTCATATTGACATTAATGCCAATACTAACAGACACCTGCGTATATTAATGTCCGCAGATATACATACCACTATCTGAAAAGCAAATATATCAATGCATTCGTGTACTAACGTAGTATATCCGTATTTAATTTGTCATATACCCAGTTTCCAACGTGACAATATACTACTTGTTAACGTCTGATTATACTGTATTGATATGCTAACTTGCTAAGACACGAATACTGTAATATGCAAGTACACTGACACATGGCAATGGTATACTAACATATGGATATACCTAAAAAGTTGTTAGATAATATACGAATATGATAAATGAAGTAGCATACCAGGATACTCATACACTAATATGTTAATAATCGAAGATAATAGCACACCAATATAGTACTCATGCACGAACGTACGCATGCATTAATATACTAAGAGCATACAAACATGCAGGTATACAAACATATTACTGTTCGAATACATTATAATGTGTTGGTATACTAAGCTGTTTATATAATCTATCAGTATACTAATATATCAAAACTAATTATAGTATTGATACGCATACTAGCACGTCCGCGAATATTACACTGATGTTAAATTCATCATTAAGACTGATTAAACTGACATCGACATTGGCACTGGCATCAACACTAATTATCACTAAATATGCTAGTGTACTAATATACGAATACTGTAAAAGGCAAGTACACTGACATGTTCACATGCCATTATGCCAACATATTGATATACCTATAAGCTATTAGGGAAAATACGAATATAGTAAATGTAGTAATAGACCACTATAATAATATACTAATATACTACTACGTTAACATACGAATATCATGATACACCAATATACTCAATGTACTCATGCACCAACGTACTAATATATTCGCGCAATCTTCAACTCTGCAAATATACTATTGTTCGAATACATTACTGTATTATTATATTAAGCTCAAAATGTACGAATCAATCAGTATATTCACATATCAAAACTATTTCTAATACTGATACTAATACCAGCACTTCTGTGAATAATAAACAGATACTAAAACCAGCATTCAGACTGATACTAATACTAACACGAGTACTATTACTGACATTGACATCGACACGGGCACTAACACCAGCACGAACATAATCACGAGTTCATATTTACTATTATTGATATGTATACTTTTATTCAATACTAATACTAATACTGATGCTAATACTAATACTAAATACCAATACCAATACTAGTACTAAAGCAATACCCATCCTAATATCAATACTACCACAAAACTATTACTCATATGAACACTGATACCAGGATTAGGACTACTACAAACAATGACAGCAGTACTAAGAATAGAACCAAGAACAATACATATTAATCCTAACACTAATACTAGTACTAATACTAGCTACTAATTCTAATACTCATACTCATACCAATACTAATGTCACCACTACTGCTGCTACTACTACTGCTACTACTACGACTACTACTACTACTACTACTACTAGTACTACTACTAGTACACATACTTAATACTAAAACTAATACTGATACTCATACTAGTCACTAATACTAATACTAATACTCATTCTAATACTAATACAAATACCAATACTAATGCTACCACTACTACTGCTGTGCGACAACTATTGCTAGTACGACGACTACTACTATTAACATCAATACACATACTTAATGCTAATACTAAGAGTAATACTAATTCGAATACTATTACTCATACTAAACATCCTAATATCAATACTACCACAAAACTAATACTAATGCTAACACTGATACAAGAATTAAGATCTACAAACAGTAATAGTGGTACGAAGAGCAGAATTGAGATTAAGATTGGGACTAGGAGCGCTGCATGCGTGTGAAGAAATTTCCAAAAATTGCAAACCATCTAAAAGAACATTTTGGAATTGAGTTTGGGAGAAGTGTCTGTCGCCTATCCGTTGACAGATCCTGCCTGGGGACGCACGCCACCCTTCCCCTTCCCCACGACGGTCTGTCATGGGAGGGGGGGGTGAGCATATATATATATATATATATATATTTTGAAAATTTGACAGTGGCCTTGAAGAAACATTCAGCCGCGAACCATCCACATCCCAAGCCCCAAAACCTGTACCCTCAAAAAATTCCCATCAGTAATATCCAACATGAGTCCTTTTCCGTATGGCTATTGCGTAAGTTCCGGTATTAGTATTTGGGACTCTGATTTGATTCTGTGCTTAACTACGGGCAGTTGAGTCGAGGGCTTCAATTCATCTAAAGGTGAGAGGATAAGTTTCGGGCTGAGGCGGTACAGGATCTAGTGTTTAGAACCCTTAAGCCCCTAAAGCCAACAACCCACGCTACACCGTCAAGCGCAAAAAATCAACATCAAACCCCAAAACCTTCAATGCAATGCTTCATAAATAGCCCGATTCGCGAACTCATCTGAGGGTTTGAAGATCTTTTACCCGAAACTCAAGATCACAGGGTTTAATGTGGCGGTCGGTTTAGTACTAGGGTACCCCCCCCCCCCCGACCCAAAAGTTGCGGTCGGTTTAGTCCGGAACCGGTAGCCCCGGACAGGGGTCAGGGGTCTGAGTGGCAGGGGTTTGGGGGCTGGCTTGGGTGCAGGGTCTGCGGTTCTGCGCGACTGCGCGGTCGGGGGTCGGGGGGGTCTGGGCCAGCGCTTGAAACCCTAAACCCTGAACCCTAAACCCTAACGAATCCTAAACTCCTAGACCCTATAACAAACCCTAAACCCTGAGCCCTAAACCCTTCCAAAGGGGAGTCGGTCCAGATTCGACCCAAAACTTAATTTTTTATACAAACTTTAGTACTGGAGAGGCCTCTTTTGAGCTAGGGTCCAATCCCCGATTCGGCGGTTCACCCTAGCAGCCCCCCCCAATAATCACGGTATAGTAGAATAGTAGTACAGTAGTAGTACAGTAGTAGTATAATAATAGTGCAGTAGTACAATAGTAATACAACAGTAGTACAGTGGTAGTACAATAGTAGTACAGTAGTAGTGCAATAATAGTACAGTAGTACAATAGTAGCACAATAGTAGTACAGTAGTAGTACAGTAGTAGTACGATTATAGTACCGTAGTACAATAATAGTACAGTAGTAGTACAGTATAGTAATACAATAATAGTGCAGTAGTACAATAGTAATACAACAGTAGTACAGTGGTAGTACAATAGTAGTACAGTAGTAGTATAAAAATAATGCAGTAGTACAATAGTAATACAACAGTAGTACAGTGGTAGTACAATAGTAGTACAGTAGTAATACAATAATAGTACAGTAGTACAATAGTAGCAAAATAGTAGTACAGTAGTAGTACAGTAGTAGTACGATAATAGTACCGTAGTACAATAATAGTACAGTAGTAGTACAATAGTAGTACAATAATAGTGCAGTAGTACAATAGTAATACAACAGTAGTACAGTGGTAGTACAATAGTAGTACAGTAGTAGTACGATAATAGTACAGTAGTAGTACAATAGTAGCACAGTAGTAGTACAGTAGTAGTACAATAGTAGTACAGTAATACACTAGTAGTACAGTAGTAGTACCACAGTAGTACAGTAGTACAGTAGTAATACAGTAATAGTACAGAAATAGTACCAATAAGCAAAGCATAAAGCCAGTGAGCACATTCCCCCAATAAGCAAAGCATAAAGCCAGCGCCTGAAACCCTAAACCTTGAACCCTAAACCTTAACAAACCCTAAACCCTAACGAATCCTAAACTCCTAAACCCTATAACAAACCCTAAACCCGAAGCCCTAAACCCTTCCAAAGGGGGGTCGGTCCAGATTCGACCAAAAACTTAATTTTTTATACAAACTTTAGTACTGGAGAGGCCTCTTTTGAGCTAGGGTCCAATCCCCGATTCGGCGGTTCACCCTAGCAGCCCCCCCAATAATCAAGGTATAGTAGAATAGTAGTACAGTAGTAGTACAGATTTTCATTCCTGACGCCCCAATAAGCGAAACAATTCTGCAAGAGATTTTCGGGCTTCAGGGCCAGGGTTTTAGGGTTGGGTGGGGGCTTCAGGTCGTGGCTGCCTTAAGATTGACCATCAGCAAACAGCACAGCCCCGCCACCAAAAAAGTCCCCCCAGCCAAAAAAAAACGCATTAATTAGACCACCCCAATTTGGGGCGACCGGTCGGAATTAGCACCGGAAAAAACGCATTAAAAGAGCCCATATTCCTAAACCGACCGGCACATTACCTAGTTGCTGAGTTCACAAGCCCCAAGACGTGTACGCTTTCAGTTTTATAGTGGGTAATATTATCCCAAAAAGTGCAAAGTGTATACACTCAGCTACTAAGCCTAGATATCCTAAACCCTGAGCCCGAGTCTATGCATCCTAAACCCTAAACCCTAATCCCCAAACCCTTGCAGCTTAAGTTTCAACAGCAGCTTCGGCCCCGCCTGTGGCAGCGACCGCGTCTCTTCCACGATCTCTTGCTCAGTCGTTTTCCCGGAGACGGCAAAGGACACCTGCCTGTGAAGGGCTGTCAAAGGGGAAAAGGAGGGACCCTTGATTTAGGGCTCTTAGGGTTCCTTTGAAGGGATCTATAAGGATTTAGGGTTGTAGGGTTTAGGGTTTCGGGGAAAAGGAGGGACCCTTAATGGGGACTCCTACCCTATAATGGGCTATATAATGGGTATATAGTATATAATAGCTATATTAAGGGTATATACCTAGGGGTCCTGATTAAGGGTCCCTCCTTTTACCCTTGGAGGCTTTAAAGGGATTTTGTGGGCCAAAGGGCTCCGAAGGCTGGATGAAGGATCTTCCCAATTAAGAGTCCTTATATGAGGGATCCTTCATCCTACCTACCTTCATCCTACCTTGTGAAGCCTCCGAGTGGGTTGAGGGCTTAAGGATCGAGAACCCTGATACGGAAACTAGGGTGTTTAGACTCTTGCCTGTGAATGGCTTTGAAAGGGTCCAGGGCTGTTGGCAATCTCCAACCCACCCCCTAGAGCTCGAACCTCAGATTTCCAACGCCGAAAACCCGACGACCTAAAACCCAACTCGGAACCCTACAATATGAACCGTTAAAGACCCAGACAAAAGCACCACAAACTGCTAAGCTCCCCATAAACTCCATTAAAGCGTGCCTGCTCTTCTCCTCGAAATGGGCCCTAAAGTCCGGGGATTCTACAACAGGGTTTGCTTAACCTTACACCCCTGTACCCAAAACCCCTAAACCCGCAAATCCCTAAATTCTAAACCGTGGCCCCGCCTGCTCTTCTTGTCCTCCGGGTGGACCTCCGCGTTCGCGGAGGGCCGACTCGTCACTCGCGAGAGGTTCCGGCTCTCCGGACCTCGGCCGCCTGCGGATGCTAGAGGCCTTGAGGGCTTTGAATAGGATTCCTTTAAAGGAATCTATACGGGATCTATAATAGGGTACCATAATATGACCTCGGCCACCTGCTGACGGCAGGGTTTAGGGGTTTAGGGATTAGGGTTTAGGGGTATGGGGTTTAGGGTTTAGGGATTTAGGAATTTTAGGTTTGAGGGGTTTAGGGATTCTAGGTTTCAGGGGTTTGGGGTTTCGGGCTCTTGGAACAATGTCGTCTCTCAACAGGGGCTAGGGCCTCAGGACTTGCGAACTTTTCACCGCATGTGAAAGGTAACAGGAGCAAAGCCAATCATAGTCACCATTATCGTTTAGGGGTTAGGGTTCAGGACATCATCGTCGGGCCCCTCGCCGTTATCGCCACCGACCTCCCAAATCGTGCCAACATCGTCATCTCTAAAACCCGAACCACAAAATACTACTGAACTCCGAACAACGCAAAACTACACCCTAGATTTTGAACTCGGTCTAGAGGCCTTCCTCGAACTCTTCGTCCTCGTCCTCGGGTTGCTAGAGGAACTAAGGAAAGGGGTCCGCAAGATCACCGAAACATAAGTTTTTACAAGCACCAGAGAAGGGCAGAAGGAGTTCTTACTATGCTTTTGTTGGTGCTCTGCTTGGAGGTTGATGGGTAGCTATACGCAGGGATACAAGTCCCCTAGTATGGTTCATCAGTATAGTTACCCTTACTTAAAGGATCATGGGACTTAGTAAATAGGGTTATAATTAGGGTAACTATACTTATAACCCCAATTAGGGTACTTATAACCTTACTTACTAAGTCCATGATCCTCCAAGTATCTATAAGCCCCACTTATAGCTACCCATGAACCTCCAAGTGATTGCAGTACCATACCCGAGAAAGGAACGGCGAAGAAGAGGTCCCTTCCCCCAAGAGAGACGATACTTCATGATCTAGGCCTTGTGATGTAGGAATAGGCCGTAGAATTCGGGATTCACGATGTATGCGGGGGTTTGGGTTTAAGATTTCGGGTTTAGGGGTTTAGGGTTTAAGGTTGGGCGTTCTACATGTAATGCAGGCAGGCATCCTCGTGCTGACAGTATCGTCGGATATGGCGGGTAGCCCACACGTGCGGGTTGAAGTGCATGCTCTTGCCCTCAGTGAGCCAAGCAACATCGTCGGCGAGGGTCGAATACAGGGGCCGGGCTTTGGCATGTACACATTATTCTCCTGTGTCTATAGGACCAGCTAAAACAACGGAACATGGTGCTGATTATTTTCTACCAGGTTTGGGATTCACAATGGCGGTTGCTGTTACTCCTTGCTACATCCCAACTTGCAGCCCAAAGTAGAAACTAGCGCTCAATGACTCTACTCACTTTAGATGGTAAACCACAAGAATGAAGCTTTTGGAAGCCTACATAAACGAAGCCACAAACCAAAACCGAACTAAACCAACAACAAGTACCCAAGAGCCGTAGAGTAAACCTCAAGCGCATGCTACACTGCAACACTGAAGACCCCCGCACCCTAAACCCTAAACCCTCCCTGTTGTCGCACTCTTCAGCATGCTTCTTCAGAGATTTAGGACTTTAGAAGGCTTTAGAGTTGAAGATTGACGGGACACCTGCGGAAGGCGCGGCGGGCGACTTCTCTCTGTAGTGACCTGTCCAGGCTGTCAGGGGGGTTCAGGTTTTAGGGGGTGTGGGGTTAAGGAGCTCAGGATTTATATAGGGGCTTAGGGTTTAGGCTTCAGGTTTTCTTGAGGGCCCCTTTTTTACTTGGTGTTTGCCGATGCCAATGCTTTCCACAAGCAGCCTTCTGATCTGGACCTTGCTGTTATCATGACATTGCAGACAAACCTTGATGACGCCACCGAAATAAAGAAACCAGAACATTCAAACACAATACACGGGAGAGTACATGAAGAGTACCGAGCCATCAGCCGCCTGACTTCAGATGTTTAGGTTTCTGACCCTTAGGGCTTCTTACTTAGGATGACCTTACACAGGGCAGATAACTGTAGGGCCCCTCGCTTTCTGAACCTCCCATGGAAACCTCGTATGGCAGCGCTCCGAGACACGTCAGAAAGATTCTCAGCGATGCCATTGCTTCGAAACTTGACGCGAGACCGCAAGTGACGAAGAGCCGAGACCAACACTGCAACACCCGAAAGCCACACTTGACCCAAATTTCCAACTCATAAATCATAACCCAAGACATCTCCACACGCACCACCCTCGGCAGAAAATCCTGAAGCGTAAAGTCTATGTGGTGAGAACATACCAGATGCTGGACCTGGAAGGGACCCGGGAGACAGCACGGACCTACAACACATGCAGCATATCATTTGTAACACGAAAAGCACCCCAAGCCCCAACCCTGAACTCTCCAACAGCACCAAAGCAAGCAAGACACCACAGGGTGTAACTACTTTTCAAGTTCGTATTATTAGTATTATTATTGTTATTTGCCTTTTCTTCATGACAACACCAATGGTACTACGGTTGATGATATAAATCCTGCATCACCTATCATGAGGAATATACCATGATTCCCATAGTATAGGGTCCTTAAGGCTTCAGGTAATGCAGGATTTATATCATCAACAGTAGCAACATCACAGATCAAGATCAAGTCATGGCTCTGCATGAAGCAAGTCTTGGAGATAGAGGGCTACTATCTTTTGGGGTCCTTACAATAAGGATCCCTTTGTTTAGGGTACTATAATAGTGGGGATCCTATTATTTAGGGTGCTATAGTTAGGGTTTCCTATTTTCGGAAACTTCCATGAAGTAAGCCTTGGAGATGGACTTGGAGGCAAACATCGGCCGTTGGCCCGGCTCCTCGAGGAGACACTTTTTGGCGGGCAGCGGCGCAGAAGGGAGGGGCAGTGTTTGCGGCTTACAGCGAACCCCAGAAAGTTGGAACATTGGTTTAGGATGATTAGTGCTGGGATCCCTTATACTTTACCTTAAGGGCATGAGGACTATGATGTCCCAACTTTATGGCTTCTACCATAAGGGCTTAGCATTTGTAGGGTTGCAGATTTGCGGGCTTATGGTTTCCGGGATGTACTCAGCACTGTCGGACAATCTGTTCCTCCGTCTTACGCTTGACCTTCTTCGCCCATATGATATGTTCTGATTCGAAGATAGCAGCGAAAACTCAATCAATAGCGTAATAATCAGCATCGAGCTTGCTGCGGATGTTTTTTTTGTTTTTCCTCTTTCCGCTGTTGCTGCTGCTGCAACCGCCTCCTGCTGCGATGATGATTACCCGACGCTCCCCTCTCCCATGTACCAGCAGAACGCCCTGACATTGGTGCTCACAAGTCTTGGCTGACTTCTGAACCCCTCCTACAAGTTAAACTTGTAGCCTCTATATTATAGTTCATATAGAAACCCAAAAAGTTAAAGTCTAAAGAGCCAACCAGAAGAAAGCCAAGAAGTATTTGGCAAACCATCCAAGCCTCCGCAAACATCAGCTCCCTCATGTCACGCATCTCGCGGCCTCAGCAATCTGACTCTGACTTCTGGCAGAATTCCCTGCTGTTTGAGGCTTTGGAGTGTGAGCTGGTTTGAGGCTTCAAGCCTTAGTGGGTTTCACGGTTTCATGATGTCACTATTTCGGTTTATCATGTCTCTCTGCCCTGAGACTTCGACATGATTGAAGTCTGCCAAGCCGGTTGAACTTTGCTTAAGCCTTCAAGACCCGGCCGCAGCCGCGAATCAAGCTCTAGCCACTCAACCAATTTCCATCCTGAGCATTCATAGCCCAAATACTCGCAACCCAAACCTCAGTTTGGACGAAGCACGCAGTTCCTCGGACATCTTCTCTTGCAACTTGTCCACCTCGCAGTTCCCCAGAATGTCGGGTCCAAGCGAGGCAGAACCCGTCTAGCCCTTATCCCTTGCATCCCTTTGTGTTTCGGTGCTGGGGGACGTGGGGGGGCAGATGGTTCACGCGTTCAGGCTCCGGTGCTCCGGGACTTCGGCGATCTCGCTGTCCCAGTAGCAATCACTACTGCAGGCACGAGTAAGCACGCCATGAAGTACTGCCACCAATGCTTGCGGCGTGAACTCCTGAACCCTACCCCACTTGAAATTCTAATCCAAGCAGGAAGCCATCTTCTGCATCTCCATGAGCAGGACGTGGCTCAAGTCCTCGAGACATGATGCACTGAGGGTTTGGGGTTGAGGGCTCGGTGGGCTTAGGATTTAGGGTCTGGGGTCGGGCTCCGGGGTTTGGGGTTTAGTGGGCAACCGACGACAAAATCCTCGAGCAACTCCATTACCAGGGTGTACGGTTTAGGGCTTAGGGTTTAGGGTTTCGGGTCTAAACCCGAAACCCTAAACCGGGCCAAAGGGAGCCTCCAGGGAATTTCATGGGTTATACTTTTCGGCACCTTCTCCCCTGCAGTAGACCGTAGGCCCCATAAAGTTGGAAACCGGACTAAGGCCAAATAGTGCTGGGATTCCCTTTACATTACTCTTAAGGATTGAGGCTATTGGGTTTCCAACTTTCGGGCTCCTACTGTAAACCCTCCAAGTCCTGCAAACTCTACCTGTTTGGCTTCGTCTGACCGGCAACGTTAAAAGTGTCAAGTTTTACGGGCTCCTGTTTAGGCTTGCTGCCCTGGGCTTCGGGACTTGCAGAGTTCACTCATGGGGCATCCTTTCTCTCGACCTGATTTCCTCCTGCACGACTATGCAGCTCTACTACGCCTCCATAGACAAATGGCGAAAGGATTGTCAAGTGGGTGGTTGTCAAAGTGATGGTCCCTTTTTGGGTCCCTAATATAGTAATTTAGGGGTACCCCAAAAGGGGCCATAATTTTGACAACTACCCAAGTGATATCATTGAGGCTATCCGTCTGGCCAAATGAACAAACAAAACCATCGAGTCGACATCCGTTTTGGTTGGGAAGTCCTTTCGCAAGGCACCGAACTTGGTACAAAGCAGCTTTCAATATGGGGTGTAGTTAAGGGACCCACCCACCGCCACAAATACTGTTGAGTAGACCCCTGCAACCCTTTAGCAGAATGAAGTGCTAGTAGCCCGGGGCCCGAACCCCAAACCCTTAACCCCTAAGACTCTAAGAGCCGGCGAGTAAACCCTTATGCTCGACTCCTGGAAGTGGTGCTCTGTGCATCCCCCATCAGGAATTTCCATCCTCCAACGGGGTGACTGCCTGGTCTCTCTCAAGCAAAACGGTAATATAGGTGCCCCAATAGTTAGTTTGCAACTTTTGGATCTACTGTGCTATGATTACAGTGAGGATACCTAAAATTTCTGGTTTCAGAACCCATGGTTCTGGTCCCCGTGGGTTGAGAGCACACACAAGAACAGTTGGAGCATCAATGCATCCCAACGCTGAACCGTTGATTTTCAAACCTGGCAGAATCCTATCACTGCCCGATAGCTTGTAGACTTGATGGGGCCCCAATCACGATTGCCAGCCCCCCTCCCCCGTCGCCCTCTTCCTCATCACACAGACCCTGCACCAGCCTGGCGGCAGCGAGCACGAAGCAAAGACGCTTCTTGGATACTGCAGTATTATAAAGTCATTTGAACAGAAGCGGCTGCGGTCAGCATGCAGCTACCGGCGGTCCCAGTAATAGAGCCTAAGCCCTATATAAACCCTAAGACCCTGAAAAGTAAACCCTGAACCCTAAAATCCTAAATCCCTCAACCCTAAAACCCTAAAACCCTTAACCTCAGAGCCAGAGCACAGAGCGCAAAGGCAAGGCTGAGTTCCAGTGGTCCACAAGCTCTACCTATAGTCTCCATTGTAGTTCCGTTTTGGGGTTACCTTATAGTATCCTTAACATGTAACTGGTTAAACCAAAAAAGGAACTACAATGGAGACTATAGGTAACATTATAATAAGGGTACCCTTTCTCCTATTGTTCCCCTCAATAAGGGGACCCTTACAACAGGGCAAAATGATACCACTCAGGAACCTAGACAGACAAACATAGCCAGAATACGAGTTACTAGACGTAAGGTTTGCACTGCATTGCGCCCTTGCACTACATACAGTAGCTCTTCAGACGTACTCAGGCTGCTCGACACCATCTATCCACATTAAACCCTGTTCCCCCCTGCATCCGCACCAGCCGCCACATCCCAAAGAGAGGAGAAGGCAGCATGGAATCCTCGTACTTCATGTTCCTGTTCTTCTCATCTTCCAGCTTGTCGCAAAGAGCTCTGCTATCTTCAAGCTGGCCAGCAGGGAGAAGTTGCTTCTGCCAATTTCGGTTCAGGGTCTAGGGTTCAGGGTGCATCGGGGACGCTAAACGGGGGCTGGAAGCCGCGAACACGAATCCTTCACTCCCTGCGGCCCAAAATCCCTCAATCAAAGCCCCACTCAACAATCCTAGAGCCTGGACTTCTAATATAGGGGCCTTGATAATTAGAGTAGGATTTTGGGGTCCATCATAGTAAACTTACAATAAGGAGCCCCCAAGATATCCCAAAGTAGTATCAGTTATTATTTAGGCCCCTATATTAGCGTCTCTAGAACCTCACTGCAAGCAAGAGAAAAGCCCTCAAAACACCCGGACACGGCCTGCTTTTCGAGATCCAGGATCTCTTCATCTTTCTGCTTTATTTGAGCCTTGGAGCGCCACAAAGGGGGGGGGTGTTGGGGGGGTTTAGGGTTTGGAGTTTAGGGGTTTGGGGTTTGGTGGTTTAGTGGTTGGGTTTAAGGAGTTTGGAGCTGAAGGGTTAATTTTTTTTGAACGCCTTCTTCCACACCGAACTCCAGAAAGACCTATTGGGCAGGCTTCTTCCGTTACCTTTAGATCCAGCTGGTGACCTCGTCGCCTTCACCTGGCACAGGGGCCTCCACCAGCTCACCAGTCGCCGGAGTGCACGAGAGAACAGCATCGAGCAACGTTCCGCCCTCTGCGACATATCGAGGCCCAACTTAGGATGCGGTCCACCCATTTCGCTCAGGTTCTCGGTATCGTTCAGAGCCCCTTGCTTGACCACCACACGCGCTTCAAGCATCTCCAGAGTGGACTCCCCGTACTGCCGTCTCACAGCCTCGTTGGTGATCTGCTTGGCCATCCACTTGTCGAAGACTGCCATGAACTCACCGAAGTCCACGGAACCTCCACATTTACTGCCGCTGGCGGCGGTGAGGTGCTCGCTTCCCCTTCGTCTTCGGATTGCAGCTTCGACTCCACTTTCCAACACCTGTGCTCCACTTTCCGCCCAAGGCAGTCGAATCGTCTGCATCGTGCCCAGGTGCCCATGCTGCGGCCCAACCGCGACCTCCACCATCGTTTGGGTGGGGAGCGAGGTCCATTCATGGCATCATACATGGCCCAATCTTCCCAGACCTGGTAGTTCCTGCTCTCCTCCACTGCCATATGCTCCTCCACAGAAAGCTCTTCCTCCGCCTCATGCCTTGCTTGAGCCTCCTGCAAGGCCTCCCGGTCCCTGCGTTCGGCTTGCTGGTCATGTTCTCGGACACACCGTTCACGGATCACCGGACTCAGGCTATTCTCCCCTTCTCCTAGCGCCCCGGGCGTGCATCATCGAACACAAGGCTTCTGGGACGGTAAGTATGGCTGAAGGATCTTCGCCAGGCAGGAAAGCACCCTCGCCGTCCCAGTCCGGAAGGACGTCCTCGTCGCCACCGATGTAGAAGTGCTGCGGGCCCTCGTCCCCGATATAAAAGTGCTGCGGGCCTCCAGTTGCCGGCCAGGCGACCACCTGGAGGCGTGCATGTCTGAAAGTGGTCCTCCAACTCCTTGACGCCGGGCCTCTGGCGAGCGGCTGACGATTGGGCCGCCGGCAGCTCGGGTTGATCCTCCCCATGTCCTGTTTCACGACTGGCATGCCCAATGATTGGCATCGGCTGGCAAACTTGGAAAATCTTCAGCAGCCGCAGCAATCGCAACATGCGCAGGAAAGGAAGCACCGACTGCCCTGCCAGGTTTGGGGTGCAAGGTTGCTGGTTTATCGGGCTTCGTCAGCGCCCCAACCGAAAGACCTCACAATCCTGTTATCCTCTTTGTAAAAAAGCATATATAGTAGCTCTTAGCTAATGATCTAAGCTGATCTTAGTGTAACCCTTGCAGAAACCCTGGGAGTAAGTACAGATAGATAGCCATTAAAGCAGCCTGTAGGCAGTCCTAAGGGCACTCCCTGGAGCGTTCTCATGAGTAGCTTTCAATGGAGGGTGTAGGGGTTGAGGGTTTTCTATGAGCCCCAGGCTTCAGAGCTTCAGCCTAAAGCCTCATGCGCTTGAACCGCATCTCGAACGTCTATATACACCCCCTGCGCGTTTCGCGTGGGGGTGGAGGTGGCAGGTGGCATTCGCAATGCGAGGGGATACCATGGAAGGAGGGGACTGCAGGGGACCCGTGGGATGCTGGCACAACAGGCCTCTGGGCTCTTTGGTGTCTGTCTGTGTTTATGAATTCAGGAACCTCGTGGCCTCGTGGCATTCAACAGTCACAAGCACAGAAAACCTCACATTGCGAACCCAATAGTGGAAGTAAGGTGTACCTATAGTCTCCATTGTAGTTCCTTTTTTGGTTAGCCACTTTTGTGGTTAGGATCCTATAATAGAGTTTTTGGTTAACCAAAAAGGGAACCACAATGGAGACTATAAGTACTACCCTACCTTAACCTACCAGAACCTACTTTTTTGTAGGACTATAGGCAGAAACCTGATCTCTGCACTTTTCAAGCAGACCTCGGCCGTGTGGGGAGCCCTACACCCCGAACTCCTGAATGGAAGCATCCGAAGGCCCGTAATTCTGAACCGGCACTTCGTATACTGCTCCGAGTACATAGATCCGGGGTCGGTAGGATGTGCTGCAACTGCAAGGAGCTTCTTACAGAAGAATAGAGTAAGCGACTGTGCTGGTTATTAATTGTAGGTCAAGCCGAAGTATTGATGGACCTTGAACCTTAAACTACAAGCCCTAAACCCTAAACCCTTAGACACTAAAATCTCAGACATTGAGGTTCCGCACAGCTTCCTCCGCCGCACGTTTCTCGGAGCGCTGTCGTTTCGCCTGGCACTTGATGGGTCTTGAAGCTTCTGACTGCTAACACCCTTTTCTTATCTTTTCTTATCCTGAGACTGAAGGTCAAAAGAAGGGTTTCGGGACAGTCTAATTCCACTGCTTTTCTCGTTTGTCGGGGGGGGGGGGCGGGGGGCGGTGCCGGGAGTTTCTCTCGGCTTCGTTGACGGTTCGTCTCGTGGGGACCTATGGTTCAAAGATCTTGAAAGTCTGTTGGGCTCGAGGGTTCCCAAGGTCAAGGTTTAATTCAGGCTGGAGGTTTTGGCGCCAGTGTAGGGTTTCCCCAGGTTTTAGGGCCAGGGTCTCGGATCGGAGGGGTCCGGTATCCTTGCTCCTGCAACTCGGCTCAACATCATACAATTTAATGAACATAAGGAGAACCCGACATAAAAGGGCAAACGAGTACTAACTACTTGGGAGGCCTACAGTGAACCCCAGAAAGTTGGAACATGGATTTAGGATGAATCGTCGTGCTGGGATCCCCTGTACTTTACCTTAAGGACATGAGGATAATCATGTTCCAACTTTCTGGCTTCTACTGTAGGCGGTCACTATGATTTTCCGGATGCCGTCGAGCGCAGCACAGGGAAGTCTCTGATTCGGAGCACGAGCGGCAGAGAGTCAAGCTCTGTCTGCACTACTGAGTCACTACTGCAAAGGCCTTAAAAAGTAGAATAGGGTGCCTGTAAAGGGGTCTATAAGGGTTACTATAAGGGTACTTTAATATAAGGGGCTTTAATCATGTTAACAGGGTTTGGGCCCCTTATGCTCTAGGGAACCCCGAAAAAATATAGGCAACTGTTGAGGCCCCTACAAGAGCTGGTTTCTATACTTAGGATCCTACTGTCCTACTGTATAAAGTATCCTCAAAAAAGGAACTGCAGTGGAAGCATAGCGGTAAACCCAAAGCCCGCGTTGCTAACATCCCTTCATGCTGGAACCTCGCAGGAAACCTAAAGCCAAGGTCCGATAAAGCCCACACACTGAAGCCCTGAGCCCAGAACCTCCTAATGTAGGGGCGTTGCGAATGAGAAAAGGGGCAGGGGGATATAGTTGAATTCCAAAAAGGTAACAGCAACATGACGTACTCCCATCCCGACAATATTTCCTGTGATCTCGAAGCCC